GGGAAGGTGTGTAAGTGTTAGTCGTGTGGGGATGCCCCCTCACGGGGGCGTACGTGTCTTTTGGTGTATTTGTCTGTCTGGTATATTGTTTGTCGGGGGTCGCAATTTTAAAGAAATGTATTCTAAAGTAATGAAAATAACTGATAAATAAGTAAAAACTTACCTGGGCATAACCCCGGCACAGGTGCTGTAACAAAGATGCCGACGGCGTCTATGCTTAAGCCGGGGATTAGGTCGGTGATTAAAAGGAAAGAAAGGGATTCTTTCCAGGTAGCCTTAATAAAGGCAGGTAGAATTTGCTCCTTGCACTACACTTTCACAAAACACGTGTGCTCTGGTCGGCTGCCCGCTAGGAACAGCACTCGATCGTTATCTAGACGATTATGCTTTTACGGAAAAACTCCAGCGGTGATCCTGACGTACCCTATCCCCGCACCGGCCCTCGAGTCACCGACTCAAAAGCCGCGTGCATTCCCAAGCTACAAGCTATTCCCAAAAACCCATTCCTCACGACGACTACTCCCCGGGGGCCTAGACAAGTCGGCGAAGAAAGAAAAATCAAGACACAAAGAGCGCCAGAAGAGGCTCCTCTGCCGGCGGGGGTCAGCCAGGGCAAGAGGAGGTCCCGCAAAGCGCCTATACCGGCCATACTTGCTCGTGGTCGGGGTAGACGATGGACGGGGCCCACTTTCATGAGACCGCGCAGGCCTACAGAGAAAGACGAACAGGTATAGTCTCCCTCGCTCCCAAATTATCGAGCCCATGCTTAAAGCCAAAAATAACGGGGTGTGCGTATTCTATTTTATATTTGCATTACTTTTTGAATAGTGTCATACAACTTATACACTGTACATTTTTTAGGCTAGTTTAAAAATGTATCTTAAATTAAAAGAGTTCTAATATTTTTTGTTCTTTGGTGTGTGTAAATGTCAAATTGTCAAAAGTAAACTTGCGAAGTATGTGAACTGTGAAGTGTGATGTGAAGCACGCCATAGGAGAAGGGAATAAACGGTTGTATTGTTTTTCGCGGGTCGTCATATTAGGAATATATAAATATAAACAAAATGCCTCCAAAAAAAAGAGAAAAAGAACCCGACCCCACAAAAACTCCAAGAATCGATCACATTCAGGCGGATCATGAATTGTTTTTACAAGCTTTTGAAAGTGAGTAGTGTTTATTTAATTTTTCTTTTTTTCTATTAATACTAACCATGTTTCAGAACCTACACAAATATATAGATATTTACGTACAAGAAATATGTGTTCGGTAAGATACTTTTACATTCCATTATAGTAAATCTAATTACTAAGCTTTTCTTTCAGCCTATCTTCCTGAACAGGACCTTAACATATATGAAACATAGAATGTCAAGATCTCATAAAATCAGGCAGAATTTTAAAGTGGATACTTTGTTAGAAAAAGTAAATTCTAGAAGAGATGCAATGATTATACAACCTGGTTTTATAAATCTTACATTTTTGGGTTTTAATAATAAAACATTGGATTACAATGCACAAATAGCACAAGTGGAAACAGTGCTTTTAAAGATAAGTCACAAGAAGCGTAAAGATAGTTCAGCACCCAGCATGCAAGTTACACTTGGTACTGCAGATGTTCCAATAAATCCTAATGAGGAACATTTACCTTCAACAGCACCTACAATTAGTATTCCTACAGAATCGTTCAATCCTTCAAGTGGTCCATTAGTTAAATCGTACATTTTATTATTCAGAGTAAAAATTACTCCAGAAAGAGAAATTGACGATGATGAACCAGCCTTAAAAAAACGTAAGTCAAACGGAGGCTCGCTAGATAATAACACAAAATTATACGGAGCAGAATTAACAGTTTACGATAAACATAATCGGTGTTACTTAAGTGATGGAGACTATGACATTGTAGTACAGGATTTTTCAACAGGCTCAAAGCATTCCCCAAAAAAGCATTCCAGTTGGGAAAATGTCAATGATTTGGTAGAAACCTGTGGCAATCTGGACGCATTTATGAAAGGTGCTGTTCTAAAATTTAAACTCAATTGGTCTCCAGAAGCCAGCGCCAGAATCGTGGATCGACCTAAACCTTATCCGTTGCAAGAGAATAAAGAAAATCTCCCGGCACTAACCAATGGCAATAGCGATAATATAGATAAACTGCAAATCGTGTACCAGTTTGTTTACAATAATAATTCACGTCAACAAACGGAGGCTTGTGAGGACTTGCATTGCCCCTGGTGCAGTTTAAACTGCAATCAACTTTATACTCTCCTAAAACATTTGAAACTGTGTCACTCTCGATTTACCTTCACGTATGTTCCAATATCTGTAGGAGCTAGAATAGATGTAGCTATAAACGAAATGTACGACGGGTCGTATACAGGATCTCCCCATGATCTTATATCCCAGCCGTCTGTATGCGCCTTCTCGCGTAACGGCCCAGTACGGAGGGCGTCCGTAACACACATTTTAGTATGTCATCCTAAGAGACCTAAGCCTAGCTTATCGGAATTTTTAGAATTGGACGATTGTGAGTATGACGGACAGAGACCGTTCATAACCGGCCACAACAGGTTGTATCATCATACCACTACGTGCTTGCCTATTTATCCCAAAGAAATGGACGTTGATTCCGAAGGAGAAAACGATCCCGAGTGGTTACAAAATAAAACTATGATGATGATAGATGAATTTACTGATGTGAACGAAGGCGAGAAAGAGCTGATGAAGATGTGGAATTTACATGTTATGAAGTACGGATTTGTGGGAGACTGCCAAATTCCCTTAGCATGCCAGATGTTTGTGCAGCATAAGGGTAAAGAATTGTTACTAAAAAATTTGTACAAAAACTTTGTGGTTCATATGTGCAGTTTATTTGACTTTGGTTTATTGAGTGCCGTGTGTTTATATACAACTATCCAAAAACTTCAAGAGATAGTTGGAGAAACCGGCGCTATTCGTACGGTCCTTAAGGAATCTAGGGAAGCACAGATAGATAATTGGTCCAAATGTGGAAATTTGTCTATGGTCTACGACAAGTCAGGTTTAATGAAAACGCCAAATACTGGTAGAAAAACGGGTAACATGGGTATTCAACGAAGAAAAGGGACTCCTACCCCATCCGACGGCCCAGCGAGGAGAAAATCTGTTTGTGGTGATTCCTCACGGAAAAGGCTTTCATTATCTTTAAGTAAAAGTGACCAAAAAAGTAGCTAGTTAAACGATTTTTTCACGTAGTACGAGACAATAAAATATTTTTATAATATTTATCAACAGATTTTTTATAGGACTAGAATCAAAAACGCCAGCATTAAAAAATGTGTGGTTAATTTATTATTTTAGGCCGTTTCGTATACACATTAAAATTGTGTAATTGGATAGTATACATTTAATGAATTTATTGTGTGAATCAATGAAACTAATATTTTAAATTCTAAATATATTATATTATTAAAATGTTTTCATCATTGTTATTGTTATGTATATTTTTTATTTTTAATTTAAAACATTGCTTTTTGGTTTTATGTATAAGAGTAATAAAAATATGAAATGAATAATTTTTTTTGTAGTCAATTTCAGCTGTAAGAATAAATATTTTTCAAATTGTTACGTAACATATTTACAGTTTTTCTCTTCAAAACACCACGTAGTATTTTTAAAATATACGGGGTGTCCTAGAGAAATTAGTAGTGTTTCACCACAATGGCAGTTGGTGAAAACAGAAGTGATCATATTTTTATAAAGCAAAAAAGTATTTTGCACATACGTGCAATTATTATTTCAATTCTTTACTTTGTATACATTGTATATTTTTGCCTCAAGAACATTCACTACGTAAGCTGAAGTATCATCCTCGAAAAGACAGTATGGGTCTCATGCTTAATTATTAAAATGTAACCACACCAATTTTCGCCAGCAATCACGGCAACTAAATTACCTATAAGAAAATATCGTCACCGAGATATAAACTGTTGAATGAGGTATCAAGAATAATTTTTTAATATCACTCCAAAATTATTTCGGCTAGGTTTGGATTTGTTATTTGGTGCATGTTGGTTAAGTAAGAAAATAAAATACACGATCTTAGTTTTTGGGGTCCCCCATCCCTATAACTTTTACTACTATCTAATTTAAATTATTTTAATAGTAGTAGTAATCCCTTCTATTCCAAACAAAATTTCAACACAGATAGAAAAAAATACATGTACAGATTCATTCACATACAATTATACTTGCCCCTTTTTATATTTATTATCTTTCTATCGGGGACAAAATGGTAATTTTTTTGTGAAGAAATGTATAAATTTAAAAATAATATTTTAAAAACAAGCTTTTATTAAAATGCACTAAGAAAAAAATAAACAATGTAGTTCATAAAACCCATAATATTGTGTAAACCCCAAACTCGCAAAAAGGAATATGGCTGCTCTATAGAAGTGTCATTAGGGAAACTACATTAAATAGATACGTACTATCTTAATTAGTATGTATTCATGTTCTTATGCAAGGTTTATTCCTAATTAGAATTTTTGCTATAAGGGGTAAGTTAAAGAAATTACCAACAGTACCAGAACCAACAGTACTTTGTTATTTAGTATTCTGAGGAGGAAGGAAGAAAGATAAACCTATAAATACGTAAGCAAAACGGAAAATGTTAATTTTTTTTAATTATTAAAAGTTTCAAAGCCATGGTATTTATTTAAGATTTTAATTTTGTGGAAGTATATTACAGAAAATTAAACCATAGAATATATTAATTTTTTAAAATGAGTTTTTTCACGAGCAAGTGTTTCAGAAGTGACAAAAATTGATCTAATATTAAACTGATTGAAAGAAGGTTTGGGTTTATTACATTTGTAATCTATAAAATAGATTAGTGAATAAATGTTTTAAAGTGGATGTAGAACTATTCATTAATTTTACAGTCAATGGGTCTAATGTGAGAAAAAAAAAGATAAGTAGATGATTGCCAAATAATAGATACAATCCACGAAGGAATACAAGATTTTTTAAATTTATTGTTTCTCGTAAAGATTTTGTCATCATTACTATTACCATAATTGCTGATACTCTTCACTTGACCAATAAATCTGGAAAAAAATGATCCATATAAGCTCCATAAATTTATGACACTAGTCACTTCTACAGCCACTTAGAAATCCTCTTCTTTTTTAGTAAAATCCGACCGTTTTTATTTTTAAATTTCTTATAGTTTTTTATAACATAATCTTTCTATTCTTTGTCCCATATTTCCGGGTATAATTTTCGAATTTGTGAAGTTATAAGCTCTATCTCTGTTTCCATTTTTCAATCACTATTTTCTATTTTCCTTTGTCCATACATATTTAACGAAGTATTGTTTCATAAATTATGTAGCGATAATTTTAGATGATTTATATGATTTTACAAACTTTTTTCTTCTATTTGTTGCTTGTTGAATACCAAATCAAGCCAATGAAAATATAAAATATTTTTGGTTTAGCAGAAAATGACATTTTAAACAGCTAAAATTAAAAATAAATTTTACATATGGAATTTTTTGCTAAATTCTAATAGCTCTCTATTATACAAAATCAGCAAATATTTTCTTTGAACGAGTTATGAGGATCTTTATTATGAGAGTTAGTATTTACTACATTAATAGTGTTGAAAAAGTTAATATACTCTTATTAAAAATAAAGGTACCATTAAAAAAATCGAACATTTACTTTTTTACATTAACATTTTATGGAAATTGGATGGATTGGAAATTTAAATTTGCTGAAAATAAATGAAGCCTATTAGAATTTAAACACATTAAATTTACATATTATTTTATTAATTGAAACGTCATTTTCTTCTAAATTAAAAATTGACGAATAGGATGCGCTTCAGTATTCAGACCAGTAAAAATCATTAAAAATGATTTTAAATCATATAAAAGATGTCCTCACCTTGTCATTATCGTCAAATAGTGCAGAATTTAATACTTACCTACCATTTTAAGCCTTTCTTCTGTAGATCTGCATAAATTGCATGGTTGAGTTAAGATTAAAATAATAAAAATGAGATTATCATGAAATAATTGAAAAAAAATCTTATGAAATTTTGAGAATTTTCATATCTATGAAATTCCTTGATAATTCCAGATCTTTCGAATCAGTACACTCGTTAATTTTACAATTAGAACTTTAATTTTTACATTCAAATTTTTTTCGTGATTCGACAGTTTTTTATTCAAAAACTGATTCGTTTGTAAAACAAAATTGTCATTATTGTGATTATTTTATTTTGTGATGTTTTTGGATAAACACTTCAAAAAAGTATGGCTAACCCTCCTCCATATTTACAGCACCGGCAATTGAATTGCAGAATAACTACAGGGTTTGGTGAGTACATGTAGATATTAATTTTCATGAAATGTAGGTTTGCGGGTTCATCAGGTTTGTATAAACTTTTCTGCTCATTTTTCCCTAGGAATGTTAAAGTTCATGCATTTCCTCATGGAACATCCTATATATAAAATTACAAAAAATCATTACAGGCCCTACTATGGTTTATACTAAAAATATGAAGAAATGATCAAAAATCATTTTATTCTAAACACAAAAATTATATTTACTTATTCTTAATAATAACGATAATAATAAATGGGTCTCTAAACATTAAAATAACCGAATTATTCAAAAACAGTTACTCGATTTTTGTTATATCAGAAATATATCGCTTGAAAATCTTACAGAGAATGTCAGACTACTTTTCCCATTAGATGGAAGGAATTGAGTTTTGGGTTTTAACATATTAAAAAAAAAGTGATGACAAAAAATCAATTTTTATTATATCATTTTATTCCTTACAACTTATTCAGTTTTCTTGGCCTTTTGTTTTTTAGCTGGCAAAGGCTTCTGGGATCGGAGAACAGCACTGGCTCTTCGGAGTGCCGCCTAAAAAACAAATATATATTATATTTATGCGAAGATCCCCTTTCACCAGCCACAATTCCGCTTTTAAGTAGTAATGAATTAATTACATCATTAGAAGAATATTAAACGATATTTATTTCAGACCTCAATATCACCTTAAATACAGTCAATTTATACAAAACTGTTTGCGAAAAGGTTCATTTTGATTAATTTAAAAACCATTTTGTAACTAGTGACATACTATTTATAAGACAATTTTGAGATATAAATGTACAGAGATTTTTTTACTCGGATTAAGATAATAAATTTCAAGATAAATATATTTACCTTGGTGAGATCTGTACGATATTTGTTTGCATTCAAAAGACGTTTCAGCTTGTACAGTGACCTTCTTGGACCAGCTTTCATAGTTCTTTTGACATTGTTCTGTCTAGGCTTATTCTAAAAAAAAACATGATATACTCTTATAAACATGTGACGAAGAAAATAATAATTAAAAACGATAAATGGAAAGTTCGATGTATTAATAATGTTTGAGTATGCTCCAATAAACTAATTACTAAAATCTATGAACATACCTGCTTACTTGCTTTCTTGTAGACTACAGTGAAGCCCTTTTTATCGGGAGCATCCACGACTCCTACAGACTTTTTATGAATAAGACCATTGTATCTGTATGAGCTTAAATTTGTCAAATTGTTAGGTTCCTAAAAAATGTTATCACAATAAATTATTCACATTCAGCTATTCTTCAGGGAAAAGAAAACTCATTTATCTAGATTTTTAATCAAAGCAAGTAGAAAATGAAATGATTTACTTCTATTCTTAGCAAGAGCTGTCAACAATTTTGTATGAATATGATACTTGATCAAAAAACAAAAATTAAAAAAAATACGCATACGCATTTTCAATTATCCCAGTAAAGGGATTATTTTAATTAAGGAAATTATGTTTCGCTTCTCTAATGCGTATTATATTTATACTAACAGCATATGAAAATATTGCTTTCTTATATAATTTAAAATATACTTACTGTGCTAAAAGGCTTTGAAATGTTCCTCTTTTTTAAAAGAAAAGCATTGTTATTGCGGATAATTCCCCAAACCAAATGTGACGACATTTTCCTTAAAAAAATTAAACAAATTAAAAATGATTTTACCTATTTGCAAACTTACTAGGTATGTTAAAATATTTTTTTAACAAAATTTTTTACATTATGCCTTAAAAGACAACAATGGTGAACTGTTTTTAACATTTACAGAAAATTAACAAAAAATTGGGAATATGTTTAATCAATTTATTATAATTGTATATACGACAAAGAAATAACCTCTTCTAATTAATTGAGGATAATAATCATGCTGTTTATTGAATTTTAATGTTAAATAACCGGCCATTAGTGCTTGTTTTTTAATTAAAAAAAATGTTAATTTGGATAGTATTGTGTATTTGATTGTACACTATACATATATTATTTACACCTAATACACCAAGAAAATTACAAGTTTTTTTTCCCATTTCTTGGATGTTTTGTAAAGTGACGCAGTGTTAATAAGTGATTTTTAAAAATATAAAAAAAACAGTTTTCAATTTAGTTGAAAAGTATATGCATACATTTCAAATTTTAAACTTATTTAACTTATTATTTAACTTCAATATATGTAGATATTATTTCTATTTTAACAGTATTCTGAAAATACTAAGCGTTTTCTAATGGAAGTTTATACTTAATTATCTACTAAATATTAATATATAAGCTCCATACATCTAGTTCAAAGAAATGGTTATTTGGTTTTTCTTTATTAGTAAATAATTACACTTTAAAAACATAAAATTAAAAGTGCCTCAAAGCACCATTATAACCTATTCTATACTGTGGTTGTCCACATGGTTTAAAAATACAACAGTCAGGCATAAAATACCTGAAAAATATATTAAATTATGCTATTTACATTTCAAATTAATAATTTTTGAAAACTTATTCATATACGTAAATAATAATGAATATTTTTTCTTACCTCGCACTATTTTACGAAAAAACTGCAACTTCTCAAATCTTGAACGGGAGAAAAAAGAACATGAAAGAAATCGACATTTGACATATTAAATAATTCGTCTTCTTCTACATTCTACATTAGAACATCACGGCAGCTTTCGTTTTGCAGAATATATTATACCAAGGGAGCTTTCCATTTGGTAAAAATAGTACCTATTTGCAACTAATATCAGTTCAGAGTAAGCCTACGTTGCTACTAGCTGCTGATAGCTATTAGAGACTTAAAGCAAAGACACAAGAGTATACATTACGCTTTGACGTTAACGTAAAAATCATGCAACGTTATAGAATTAAAAAGCCGCCTTACAGCATCCTTCATGACGTAGACGTACGTATAATAATAATAATAATAATGAAGGTGAAGAATTAGGAAATAAGGGTGAATTGTATGACCGATTTAATTTGAAGAATCTATATAGTGACAGTGTCCATCCATCACGATTACCGTAATGCCTAATGTGGTAAGGTAAACACTTGAAATCTATTAAAAAATATTGTAAACTGTAACACTCTGATAAAAATAAAAAAATATATAGGTATGTCAAAAGCTAACTAAAACGCAACAGAAAATTAAAAATTATATTTGAGGAACTTACGGGCCAGCAAGTATACGTTAGACGTATGCGTAAACGTACAGAAAATTACCACGACTGCGCATGAGTATATGTCAATTTCTGCGTTTACGTATACGTTCATGATACTGCATTAGGTCTCTATTATTTTTGCCAAATCGAAAGGCCCTCAAGATTGTTAAAGTATCTATAAGGTCGCTAACAAACTGCTGATACCCTTCATGCCACTTCCATCAATAAACTGAGGAGTGCTGTCATTGGTATTATAAATCGAAAACGTCAGCGTCAGTCATTGTTATTGCTTCCTAATAAATTTACTAAATTTCGATCAGCTTTAATCTGTATTTTTTGGAGTTCCCTTTGTCGTTTGTCATAGGACCCATGTTTATATGAAATTTTTGTCTTATTTTGAGTCGACAAATCTACCCTCAAAGGGAATTACCACTATTTCCGAACACCCTGTATATTATGGATTGATCTAGAATCCGAGAGTTTTTTTGGTGTCAAATTATTAGTCACCTCGTTAATCGTTATATTATTTTTTAGTTTATCATTCTCACTCATTATTTGTTTATATGCATTATTATTGGTTTTATAAACTATATCTAATACCTAGTCTTATTTCTGTTACCACGAATAAGTTAAGACATTATAATAAATTTACAGTAGAATGCATTTTTTTAAAATGGAAAGTTCTATTTCTGGTTGAAGATTTTGAAAAGAGAATTTAAATCTAGCTCTCTTCTATTTCCTTTTTGTGGACGTCGGTGACACTTTAGCCACATTTTTAATTGATCACAATGGTAATAATTTGTTCTAATGAACTATTCGTTTGCAGAGATAATAATGCTTTTCCAGCCATTATTAACAAAAACAGTACGAAACTTTTTTCAACATCAACTTTCAATGTCGTGAAAAGGTCTATAAGTCTAAAGTGGAGCGCTCTTGAAGTACTAGTGGAGTACTTCAGTTTCACTTTTCGCGTTGCGAGAGAACTGCTCCTGAAGTAGTTCCGAAGTAAATTCTTTATCAATTGGAAAGCAGCTTTTGTTTATGCTAGGTACTATTTTTACTCCCATTTTTTCGAAGGCAGTGGCAGTCTGCTCCTGCTCTCATCTTAGTTACTCATTGCAGCCTATTTTTTAATATTGATGGCAATCATTCGAATTTTGGAGAATTGTAAACCCCGTTGGAACAGTTTTAATAAAAATAAATACTCTTGATTATGATTTTGTTTATTTATTTTAATATTACTGTTACACCATAGTTCCAAGTAAGTGAAACACTTTAAAAACAAACATTTCTACGTACACAGATAAGATACTGTATCAGATATTATCATGCCTATTATTTTGCCTCGCCCTATGTTGTACATAACATTTTATTAGTTGAAAACTAAAAAGAACAGAAAATTCGATTTTCTTGTAAGTTACTTTGCATCATATTGTAATCTCATATACTACTAATTAAGGTAAGATGTAGTTATTTACAAATGCATTTTTATTAACAATGAAGTCATATTCATATTTCTCATTTATATCAAACAAATACCTACAGTCTGTTCCTACAGATAGATATTCTAAAGAAATAGCTCACAATCAGACACGGAAGCCATTAATAATATAAAAAAAATAAAAAATCCAAATCCAAATAATACCTAGGTACTAATGAAAAATATACACACATATCTACTGAAGTTATAAATAATATGTTACATTGTGTTATAAAATGTTATTTTATATAAAATTTTGCATAAACATATGAGTACCTATATATAATTAATTAATATGTATTTAATATTCAAATATCTATTGATTCTATTAAAGGGAGACCATTTAGGGACCTTTTTTATTTATTGAACGATTTTTTGTCAATTACATTTTAAGGGAGCGCATTAGAATTAATGCCCCAATTTTGGCAACTGTCGCTCAAATTTGAATTCAATTATTGATTAAATTTAATTGCGTCCTTTTTTATTAAATTTATTTTTAAATGGACCTATATTTTACTTTAAATATATTTAAAAAATATTAATAATTGAGAATGAATCGAGAAAAAAAATGTAAATATATTGGTATTGAAACTTCGAATCGTTCATTAAAGATACAGGGTGAATCAAGAATTGCACAGTATTTTATTAAAATTTTTCCTAAAACTAAATTTAGATTACCGGACTAATGCAATTTTTATTTTGCGCTGTAACTCATTGTTTTTTAAAGTTAATTCAATGAAATTTGGTTTCTGGATATAAGACGCTTTACTTATTATTATAATAGCTCTACATTTCACTGTTTTTGATATGCGATAGTCATATTTTTTGTCTTTATATGATTAAAAAAGACATAATATGATTCAAGAATCAATTTCGCACGTCGATGACGATGAGACAAGTCAAATTGGATTCTAAGAAATTTTCTTAGAATCCAATTTGACTCATCTTGTTTATAATACAAAGATTTAGATTGGATATTATATCTTGATATAAGAAGTGAATCATGCTAACAATACAACCGATATCTTATTTCTTAGAATCTTCCTTATAAAGTAATTTGTTTTCCATTTCGGATAAGTCAGCTATTTAATTATTTTATTAGTGTATGAGATTATAAAATAATTGTACATATTCTTTATTTTACCTATCATATTTCGAATTTCTGGACGTAATAAAAAAGTAAATTGATGTCGTAAAACTATATAGTTATAATGTTTCATTAAAAACAACATCAGTGACATTTATCCAAAATTAAGAAAGAAAGCAGGGTACGCCACTGTGTTCTATGGTAAAAAAACCGTCATCAAACTGGGGTAAAGAGTTGAGAGAATACAGCTCGATATTTGGTAAAAGAATAAAAACAAACCGTATTCTGTTTAGAATTTTATATATTTTTCAATAGTACCCGTTTCAATTTTTTTCTTTTTTTATTTGGGCATTTCACCACCTACAGAAAAAATAAAAATTTATGAAATACACACTATATTGTGCATAAAATAATTTTGCCTAATCAAAAATGAGTCTATTTTCGTTTTCAAAACCTGAAATAGCACTCCGTTTGAAATTAGTTTTAATAGTTTAAGTTTGTTTATTTGTTTCACTGTTGTTTCCATAACTAGAGATAAATGATGTTTATTATGTTATTATCTACTATATTAGTATTTGTAGCCAACAAGAATCTAAATTCATATAGTAAACTACACAATCTTATACCGTTTAATAAAATAAACACGGTTCTTCTAATTCTCTATTTTATACATATAAAAAATCCCAAGGTATATAAAATTCTTATTTGGCAACTAGGGAAATATACCAAATCTGGATATCTGAAATCACTGCAACCATATCATAACCTTAACCGCCCTAGTAGCAAAATATTGCACATATTGTGTATTTGTACAAGTGATACAAGACTGCTGTGTACCTACTGCTGAAATCAGCATCAGGTTTACTGCAAGATTCATTGTGTAATTGTCTTGATCAAAGCTTTCAATGGATTTGATTCAGGGCACTTGAGTACAAAGGGGTAAATTAATGCATGTTACCATGTTGTAGACTTACATTAGAATTAAGTAAGACATATTGTATATGACTTATATTAATTCACCCCTTTGAACTCAAGTACTTTTGGTTAAGTCTCGTGCAAGTATTGTAAAAGTATCTTGCATAAGAAACGATATTTTCAGCAATAAACACAAAATAATCTGACACAATTTGGCTATTTCAAGTAAACTTGAAACAACTTGTATTAGAATTGCACACGATTGTGCTATCAGGGCGATTTACTTTTTACTTTTTTTCAACAAAACATTTGTTTTAGGCTTCTTAACTGGGCAATATAATGGAGACTTCTGATTATACTTATAATGGCAAGATGTGGAGGCGAAGTGAAACAGTCGCAGACAAGAACAGCTTCTTCCATTCTGCTTTTGGAGTAAGAGCTGATGAGTGTAACATATATTTGGATAAACAAGCTAAATACAGACGCATGTGTTGGGCAGCATTTTTAACTTATTTTGAAAGTGAAGCTGTGCCTCCTCGTCTAGCAGAAGTGCTGAAAAAATGTTTGTCTACAAATGACAAATACAAAGACGTATCCATCGAAGACCAAAGCCGTTTTAAAGGTTATGTTTCGGATATTACGAACGCGGAGCATGCTGTGACGTTGGAAGAAATTCCTCTTGTGGCAGCCTTGGAAAATATCAAAATTATCCTGTTTTCAGACAAAAAAACAGATTTAGTAACTATTATAAACCCCGATCTTAAAATCCTTGGGAGTTACCCAAACGTAAAACAAAATGGTGAAGTTGTCTTATGCCTGGAAGGAAATGTTTTTTCCAGGATGAACCCAGTCGATAAAGATTCTTCTTTAAAATCTGACAAAGACAAGATCGTAAACGTTAAAAATGCTAATGAAACTACGGAGAAATCTAGTAGTGATTTGATTAGATATAAAAAAGGTGGTAGTGCCGGCAGCGAAGGGGTTCAGTTCCAAGTGGGTCTCTTAACCATATTTTTCCTTAATGCAATTCAAAAACTCAGAAACTGGAAACTTTCGACAGAAAATAATGCCGCGGGGAAGTTTGATGATGTGGTTTTCGAATGTCCTGAAGGAGCCACTTTGTTGCAAGCTAAACATAAGCAGAGCAAAACAAAGAGGATCAGTCTTGAAGAATTGATTTCCACCAATTCTAAGAACGATGATTTCAGCCTTCCCAAGTATTTTTTATCTTACCAAGAGATTAAGAAAACGTTTAAAGTAAAAGACGTTATTATATGTACTAATGCGAGTGTTGATGGGAAGACTATGAAGTTTTTAAAATCACAGAAAGTTTCTCCCGAAAGCATGTTACACTATGAAAAATGCGACTACGAATTTTACGTATTCAGGGACGAAATTCTGCCTCATCTAAAGGAGAATATAAAGAGTTATTATGAAAAGAATTTTCAAAATAAAGGCGTCAGTGAGTCAGAAATTACCGATGAAAACATAAAAGATTTTTTTAGACATTTACAGCTCTATTCAAGTTACCCGCCAGGAAATGACGTTGGTAAAGTCACTGAACATGTACTGTCCCACATGGAACGATTGAAAAACTTGCCAGACCAAATATCCCCTTTGGAAATATACACCAAAATTCTGAACTGGTTCCAACAGAAAGACGGTATATATTTAACCGAACTGTACGCTAAAGCTATATTCTCTGAAATATGGAGAGATAAACATTGGCAAAGATTGGAGAAATACAACATATTCTTTCAGCACAATTACTTAAATTTCCAAAATTTCAGAAGGATAATTCACCTCACTGTTGAAAATGGATATTTATTACATGAAATAAAAATCATTCGCACCTTGCAGAATAATAAAACTAAAGTTCTGTTCATCAATCCTGATGATAGTACCGAAAAACAGAAACAGGTGATAGAAGCATTTGGCCTGCCTAAATACACCATTTTAGTCCTTGTTTGGTCCATAGTTACAGAAGAATCTGTAGTAAAAGAAATAAGCTGTAAATTGAAACAAATTTTAGATAAATATGAATATAAAAAAGTTGTCCTTGTAGCCGATTGTAATAATAAAATACCTCAATACGTTGGATCATGTAAAGACAACTACGATGTCATAAATGAATTTGTAACATTGAAAGACCTGTCAGATGATTCTCAAGAGAGGTTGTTAAAGAAAGAGATTATAATATTTCAAGGAAATGCCATCAGTTTGGAAGAGCTATTCGCAGATCAATCACCTGAAGATTATGGAACATTCTTAAACTCGGAAATACTCCAAATGTTAATTAGAAATGAAAAGGTTAAAGTGGGCGTACCACCTTCAGATTTATGTGAAGATATTATGCAGGTGTACATAAAACGAAAATTCAGGAGCAGCACAGAGGACGGAAGCGGATCAACTACTAAGCAAGCGACGATTTTTCCGCAAGAAACATTATACGGGGTGGATGAAAAAGTGGTCTTAATCTCAGACGGTGCAGGCATGGGGAAGAGCACTGTGCTTACCAGTCTAGCGGTTAGCATAAAGAAAAATCACCCCCATTTATGGGTTATTAGAATCAACCTCAGTAGTTACACCAAGATTTTAAAAGACTTTCTGGGCAAAAACAGAGAAACGATAAATATACTGGACCTGTTAAATTCTAAATATTCCACAAAATTGGTAAACCAATTGGAAAAGTCGGTATTTTTAATGGACAGAAAAGTTGTGTTAATGTTTGACGGGTTCGACGAGATTGGACCCGACTACACGCAACTCATTTTAGACTTGCTGCGACAATGCCAGAATGCACCCAACTACGACAAAATATTCATTACAAGCAGGCCACACGTAGCTCTAGAGTTGGTAACAAATTTGCAAGTGAGGTCATTTACTTTAGAACCATTTACCAAACAGGATCAGGTACACTTTTTGGCGAGTTATTGGAAGCACAATTTACATTTAGCTGATACAGAAAAAGATAAATGTGAAAGATATGCTGTGGCACTGATAAACAGAGTATTCTATTGGATTGAACAGCACCAATCAGGTGAAAACCACTTTGCTGCGGTACCATTGCAAATAAGAATGTTAGCGGAGATTTTTCAAGAAAGCGATCGATTCGAGGAAGCTCTGGAATGGCAACGTTGCAAGGAGTTTTTAGTTTCAAATGAAGCAGAACCTAAGTTACCGGAAAACATGAATATTATGAGATTATACCAGATGTTTGTAGATAAAAAGCGAAATATATTCATGGATAAAGGAAATCCTACCGGTAACACCGTGGCGAATCATGCGCTAATTGACCAGTTTGAGGAGTGTATCGCTTACCAGAGAACCCTCGCCTTAGAAGTAATTCTGGATAAAACAAAATGTGAACTTTTCTCGTGTTACCGAGAAAGTCGCAGAAATGTGGAAATAAATATGTTAAATATAGGCATTGTACAGAAACTCGACAACGAATTTCACTTTATCCATAGAACGTTTGCAGAGTACTTCGTTGCTGAAAGTTTATTAAAAGAGTTGCAAACACAAAATGATGATTTAAAGTTTCAAACTTATTTGATTGAGGAAATATTATTGGCTCCTCAGTTTAATGTTACTCGAGTTTTTTTAAACGGTTTTCTACAGCCAGTAGTAGATGATTTACCTTCTAGAACCTTCCAGCGATACCAGTCTATCTCATATAAAATTAATTTGTCTAATCGCAAACTGGGGTTACTTCATGAACTGGCAGGCGAAGGCCACGTGGCAATTTTTCAACTTATCTTGAAATGTATTGACATTGTTAAGGATATACCTGTTATCTCTACACATGGCATTGATACTCCTACAGGGAATACTCCAGAACACACAGTATATGGTAATATATTAAATATAATGCTTAACCGTGTACAAAGGGAAGGATTGGATATGACGGATGGCTTTAAAACTCTCCTTGAATATGCCGCTGAAAATGGACATTTAGAAATGGTTAAATTTTTAGTACAACGAGGAGCCAATGTGAATATTGGGGTCTGTAAACCTCTCCATCTAGCAGTACAAGCCGGCCACATCGAGGTATCAAAGTTTTTGATAGAGCAAGGAGCAGATATAAAATCACTAGATTTCCTCGATGACAGCTCTGTGTTGTATAAAGCTGTTAGGAAGAATGACGTGGCTACTGCCACATACCTTCTCAACGAGATGTGGAAGACCGATGATTTAAATATAAACGTTTCTAATAATATAGCTCATACGGCTGCTTGTTTGGGCAATATAGATATCTTAAAAAATTTAGTGGGACGAGGTGTGGATGTCAATAATAGAGTAGAATATGGCGAGACTCCGTTTTTTGGCGCTGTCCGAGGAGGACAGTTAGAAACTATAAAGTATCTGGTACAGCGAGGATGCGACATAAACAGCGAGGACCACCGGAATCGTACGGCGCTACATATAATCGCACCAAATCCATCGGACGTTTCCACTGCTAAATTTTTAATAGATTTAGGGATAGATGTCAACGTTATAAGTTCAGATATGAAAACAGCGCTTCACTTAGCGTTGGAAGGGGCTAATTATGATTTAATAGAATCATTAGTAAATAGTGGTGCGGATGTTGACTTGGAAGATGAAAAAGGTGCCACAGCTCTCCATCTAGCTGCTTCGAAGTATCAACAACTCGCTGTGAAACTACTTGTAGAACACGGAGCGAATTTGAACAAAAGAGATAAATGGGGCCGTACGCCACTGCATGTGGTGATTTTAAACGACTTCTCCATTTTTGATAGTTACGGCTATCCTAATTGTATTCCAAATATAGTTTTCTCTAAGGATCGTTTGGAAATTACTAAATTCATCATTGAAAATGGTGCAGATCTCAACACTAGAGATATTAAGGGTCGTACAGCATTTCATTTAGGTGCTATATCCGGTCAGTCAGATATCGTTATGTTGCTTATGCAATTCGAAGTCGATGCTAATATTAGAGACAACGACGGTAGAGCGGCTGTACATTTAGCCACTTTAGGGGGTCACACAGACATTGTCAAGTTTCTCGTACTACATAATGTGGATATTACCATTAAGGATAATTCTGGTTACACGATACTGCAATATTTATCATTCTGCAGAGATCAGTTGGACATTCTTAAATTAATTAAAGCACATACTGGAGATGTTAACGTCGAGGATGGTTGTTCGGCACTCCATTCGGCTGTTGAAAGAGGTGATTTAGACACAGTAATTTTTCTTGTTGAAACCGGAATCGACGTCAACATTAGAGACAAAGAAGGCAACACTGCATTACATTTAGCTATTAATAAAGGTCATTTCAGCATTGTTGAATACCTAGTAAAAATTGGTGTAGACATAACTGTTCAGGATAATTATGGATACACGGCACTACACTTAGCTGTTAAAAGTAGTGATTCTGATATGTCCTTCAGAAGAGATAATAACGATCCAGCTCTACAATCTCCAGCTCATGTAAATGATTCTGACGGTGCGAAAATTCGTAAGAATACTGAGGTGCATATATGTGATCGTATAAACACTGAATCGCTCTTTGAGAAAAGTGAGACAGACATCAGTATGTCACTTAATGTCCTTGATAATCAATTGTCAGCCGTTCTCAGGTATGTTAAGGATAATCAACCAGATCTTAATTCGATCTCTGAAAAACTAGAGGCTCTAAACTCATCTACATTGGAAGCATTGAAATCTATCGGAGACACTACAAAAAAAATTAAGTCGGTCCTTATACCTTCCTCTGATGAAAGAGGTACACATATTAAAGATAATAATATCACTACTTTACCTCTGGCTCTTCAAGAAGCAAGTTTGAACTTTGAAAAGGTTTTTACGGCTATTAGAGCGAATAAAGTCCATGATTCAGGCAATGTACCTTTTTTTGCAAAATTTTGTACAGGCACTAACAGTAAAAGCAATGACACCATGTCACTACCTTCCGTTATCGATAACGGCAGTTCTAGTACGTTCAAATTTCCTGGAAACACTGGAAAAAGTTTTAGTGTCAGAGACAATAAATGTATGGTTCTTCCCTTTACCCCTAAACTGAATGACACCAAACCCGACGTATTAGAAAACCGTACAATTACTGAAACTAAAGAAAGAATATGTTATATGGATATCATCGCTATGCTAGTCCTTCAATGTGATGAAGTTCTTGATATGAGAGATAAAAATGGGCACACACCTTTACATTTAGCCATTCTAAAAGGAAATTTAGAAGTTGTCAACTTTCTTGTGAAACACAAAGCAGACGTTAATGTTACGGACAATTCTGGCCGCACGTCACTACAACTGGCTGCTAAAAACGGTAATTTGGACATTGTCAAATTACTTATAGACCATGGCGTAGACGTTAATAACCAAGGTAATGATGGTTGGACTGCACTACTTACCGCTGTTTGGGAGGGTCAATTGAACACCGTTAAGTTCCTTATTACGGAATGCAATGCGGATATGAACACTATCGACAAGGACGGTCGCACCGCAGTACATTTAGCAGCTTCTGAGGGCCATTTAGAAACTTTGGTGTTTCTCCTACAATGCGGAATGGATGCTGAAGTCAGAGATAATGATGGCCGTACGGCAATACATCTAGCGGCTTTAGGAAGTCCTAGTTACTTACCGAGGTTTTTTGGTTTGTCTGGGGAAGCTAAACATAAAGTCTATCTAAGCGTGGTAAATTTATTAATGAAACAAGGAGTGGATGTTAACAGTAAGGATACTAATGGAAACACGGCTGCATTTTTGGCTGAGAGGGAAGGTCACTTGGAAATGGCGAAGTACCTGGAGGCTTCTGTTTGCAGTGGAATATCCAGAAATTAATTATGGAGCAAAAACGTATAACATCATTAATAAAGCATAAACGAGTATCACACATAAAATGTTATTCCTTTTGCTAGAAAAATAATGCAATAATGCCAGATCAGGGACACAGAAGCAACTGCCAAATTTGGCGTTTAAAAAAATGCAGAAAATGCTACAATTTACGCAAAACTTCGGAAAGTCTCAATGAGTGAAGTTATTTGTGTTTGCCGTTGCGTTTACGCTCGAGATAATACGATCATGGATTGAATGAATAAAATGTGAAACTTGATCTTATCGACAAGGCGAAGGAAATAAAATTACTATTTCTAACAAAATTACTGGTCCCGTGACTGGTAATTATTTATCTCTTGCCAATTTTTCATTAAATCCTGTTATTTCCTTTGTCCACTTGAAAAGGCCTTGAACTTATCGATATAGTCTGTCCATGATGGGATGCCCTTTGTGTTACATTTAAGTATTTATGGCTGTTAATAAAGGCACCTACTTTGTAAATACTATTTTTTAAGGTAATTATTTGTATTGTCAAATGATTGTGTAAGTATCGATTTTGATGTTATTAGAGTGACACTTTAAGTTTGAAGTTGCGTGTTACTGTTTCTTGAAAAACGAATTGCTAGAAAATGTTTTAGTTGTACGTTTTTACACTAGTCGACATTAAATACAATTTTTACTAAACAACTTTTATTAAAACAGTTTGTTCTATATAATAAAATAACAACCTATTGTAATTTTTATGGTATTTGCTGATTTATTCCGATCCTCTTCATAAACAGACTTTACTGCTAATTTTAATAAACTTTATGGTTTCCTCTTCATAAACAGCAGTGTCTCATTGAATTCGTTTATTTAAAACTCCTAAAATAGTATAAGGTAAGGTGGGGTAAGTGCAGTAATAATATAAGGTAAGGGTAAGTGCATAACAATATAAGGTAAGGTGGGGTAATAATATAAGGTGGGGTAATAATATAAAGTAAGGTGGGTCTCAATAGTTGAACTTTCATAAACCGTTAAATAATAACAAACGGCTCTAAGAGATCAATTTTTGTTCTTGTACTGTCTAATTAGACCATAATTTTATTTTTTAATTAAGTTGTCAAATCGGTTTACATTCGTTATTATTGTTTTGTAATGTCAATAAATCGCACTTGCCTTGCATCTATTTGTTGACTTTTCCGATGAGTATTTTGTAAAATAAAATGGTGCTGTGTGCAGAACTTTAGTTCGCCTTTCTATTACATCAGATTTTATTTTTAAAAGCACAAACTGTCCATCTTAAACGGATTTTGTAAAATAATTTAAGTAAATTTTACATTTATCTAAACGTATCATCTTTAGAAATGAATGAATTTTTCGTGTAAGGCGTCAAAAAATTTCAAAATAAAAGCTGTTCAGAATTTAAATTTATACCCATGTTCCGAATAAATCGTCCTACTTTAATTTTTTCTATTTCTCCATCTTATATAAGTGCATTTTGTAAGAAATAGTGAGAAGAGCATTTATTAAAACTTGTTTGAATTAAAATATGCGTTAATGTCCCAAATTTATAGACAATCCTTTTCAATTTTGTAATTCAATTTTATCAAAAAGAAAATAAAAACATTGTTGCTTCTAACAAGACCTAAATAGTTTAACAGAAATAAAAATACATTACAAAATACATTTTAATCATACAGGGTCATTTTCCAAGATAATAAAATTTTAAATGATTTTTTTTAATATACTCGGAAAATCCACAGTGTCCTGTATTTTTTAAAAATTGAAACGGCAGTACATTTAGTACAAATTTACAGATCTAGAACATCAAACACTATTTTTCGGAACAGACCTTTTTAGTGGTGACGTCACATACGCCAAATAATAGACAACCCCGTAGTACACATTGTCATAATTTTTTTGTTGATACCTTCGGTTAAGACAGGCTGGGGACACTCCGTACAATTAAATGATGCAAGAAGGATTGGTTTTTATATGCAATTTAACTCACGTGTATAGTATATTATGCAATATAAAAATAAAATAAATAAATAATATCGTCTTTATTGTATATAAAAAAGAAATTTCATGCAAAAGGCGAAGTTATAGCCTCATGATGGCTACTCTTCCACTTAAACCTATAAAGAGACACAACTGAGAAATTTGGAAAGTATTACATACAAAAAGGAACAATCACGTATTTCAAAATCCAGAAGAAGAATTATAACAGTATATGTATATTTAAAAGGGCAACCAAACAAAGAAAACTGTTAATTAAAACAGAATAAATTAAGTTAATTATTAAAAATAAATTAAGTTAATTAAACAAATGAAGTTGCAAAAGAAAGAGACTAGACAAAAGTATGTGCATGTGCCAGTAAATCAAGTAAAATCAAAAAATTTCAAAGAATTATTTTATAAAGGGCACCCTGTATATGCTGGTCTACAGATAACTACAATTTTATACTATTGAACATAAGCAGAATTTTTAAACAGTAATGACTTTTCAATTCTATCCGTGGACATACTGTATGTACATTTCTGTTGTGTTGCAAAAAAATGTATGTTTTGTAAATCCAAGATAAAATGTTAACCAATCTAAACAACAGCTACTTAATTTTTATTATACCTAAATAAACTAAATCACGTTTGAATGCATGTCCAATAATATTCCATAATGAACAGTCTGAAGAATTTTACGGATTGTAATGAATAGATATCTCAAAAATAACCATTATTTATTATAATATGTTAATGACCTATTATTTTTTTAGGAGACAGATTGTACAGCTAAAGGAAGATGTTATGCATATATTATAGTTTAACACTTGAGCATAAGTAAACTGAAACAGTACGACATCTATAAATACTTTTGTTGTCACACATTTGAATGCCAATATTTATGTTCATAGAAGAAGCTCTGAATTGGCCCTGCTAAGCCCAGGCAGTGAGCGTCGCGACGCTTAAGCTACAAATACAAAGCCATACGGCTGGCTCGAGCTCTCCCATCCTGTGATCATTTTTAACCTAACCAGCCGAATATTGTAAACGTTAATTCGATTTTTCTCATTAGAACTCGCCAATATATGTTTGTGTTGAACTAACAATAAGTGCATGTTTCTTTTCGCATCTGTTCTATAAAAGTTCCTTCCATTTATTATTACTGAGAGGTACGTTGCTAGATATTTTCTGTTCTACCATAAGAAACAAAGTGAATTCAAGCAGGAACGCGCCGGTTATGATTTTCAGTGTAAATATTTTTTTTAGAAAGGTTAGGTTACACTTACAGGGTGTTTCTAAAATAAGCTGCCAAATTGGAACAGTAGATAGGAAGTAAGTGTAATTTTAAGAAAAGAAATACGTCCGAAAACAGTTAATAAAAGAAGTTAGAGTGTGGAAGAGGGGCACTGTTAAAAACACATTTTATTAAACGACTTCAAAATGAACAATCAGATACAAATAAAATTTGGCACAGATTATCAGTTGCAATAATCTCATGGAAAAATAGATTCTTTTTGGTACACGGTGGCGCAAATGCAGGGAATAAGCAAAGATATTTTTATATAAACATTTTTTTGAGCATTTTTGGTGGATTAAAAGGGCATCGTAAAAAACACAAAAAGGTACTCTTGTTCAATGACGGTATGTAGGGTATGTGGAATGATAATATCAAAAAAGTAACTCTAATGAAGTGACGTTAAGTTGGCAAATTGGAAATAAATGGCAAATTTACTTGTTTTTTCTTTTTTTTTACTGCGCACGAAAATCTAGACGACCTATCGGAAAATTAGTCGTTTTATGTTGTAGGCAATTAAATTACCTACAATTTAAGGTATCTAAAGTCATGTTTCACCAATTTGTTAACTGTACTGTTTTCGAAAATTGCGCATTATTATTGCAAAAAGCGATGGATATTGATGAAATTTAAGGAAAAGACAGTCAATCCAAAGACCAACATGTGTGCCAAAGGCTGATTCGATTGACCATGAATTGTGGCTTCAAGTATTTATTAATTAATTACGTTTGTTTTTTTGCAACTAATTGTTTAATTGCTATTGCTAAACGTTAATTTTAGAAGTTAATATCGTAGATATAGGTTCTAAATTATCCAAAGAAACGTATGAAATTAAGTAACCCTTTACAATTAACAAAGTAGGTCGTGCCAAACAGCGTTATAAACAAATTGTCCCAAGGTCAGGCAAAAGCTGCTCGGGAATTCGTTCGTTTTGCATTAAATGGAGCTTATATTTACGTTAATTTTAAAAAATGAGACATCACCTATCACATATTTGCAATTGGCCAACTTAACGTCACTTATTTCGAGTTACTTTTTTGATATTACCTATCATTTTACATACCCTTCGGGCATAAAGTGTAATAAATAAAAATTTTTCACGTTTTATGATCAAATTCGACTGAAATAAATTTTATTTTATTGGTATACATTCTGAGAATTAAGAGTGTATTGGATTGTTTTCAAATTTTAATTCAATGAAAATAAGACAACGCTTTTTTTCATTAGCTCCCAATGTTCCATAGGCCTTAAATATGGCATTAAATACTTCTATTACCTATATACTTACTAGGTACTATCGAAATAAATGAAATAGACTCCTGAGTTTTGAAACCGATACTAAGAAAACTTAGGGGCATAAAAATTTGAAATTTGAACCATATATAGTCTCAATATTACTCTACTGTGTGCTAAAATTTCAGTTAGTTTCGTTAACCAATTTTTTAGTTATTAGTGAAAATGTTGAAAAAATCACGGTTTTCTGCTTACAAAATTGATACCTCTCACTTTAACTCGTCCTAATTTTTTTGTTGATAAAAAAATTCCAAATTTTTACTGACGATAAGCCGAACTATTGTCTTTAGTATTTTGAAGGTCATTTGTCTCAAAAGCTCTTATTTTTTTTATTTCTAAGCAAAACAGAAGGGAGTGCTATCTCCGTAAATATTGCGTTTTAGAAAAAAGAAAAAAACTGACCTAGATAGTAAATAACAATCTGAAAAAATTTGTTATTTCATTTATTTCGATAGTAGCTTGTATTCATATTTTGATTGGCATACTAATCAGTAACATCTAAAGACAATTCATTGTGATTTTCAGAAAACGAGACATATTATCGATGTAAAACAATTTTTATTTTTATTATTTTATCCAAAATTCCTTAATAAATTATTTTATAGATAAAAAATCGCAATTACCCACAGCCATCGTCACCGAGAATGCATAAAAGATATGTGCCAAGTTTAATTTGGATCTTATCAGCTGAAAAAAATTGTCTTTGGCACTGCACCTTTGTCACCCTGTAACTTTATTATTAAGCCTTTTCGGACCGACGTTTGTAAGGAATATTGACACCGTATTTTGTGAACACCCTGTATAACCTGCGATTTGCGACTGTCTGTAGTGTAGTCTGCTACAAAAATAAATTGTTAGTCTCATCCGCCTATACACGTGAACTCATTCTTAAATATGTGAACTGTTTTTACATTGCTACTTAGGTAAGACTGTTAATTTTTTTACGACTTCCTAAACAGCGAAGTACTCGTACATATATTTATATTTATAAGTAGGGCAGAGTTGTGTAAAGTGAGATATATCTGATAAATGATACACAACATGGAAAATTTAAGATTTATTAATAAACTCTAAAAAAATCAAAGATGAAGTGGATATTATTATAACATAAATTATCAGAATAAAGTCTCTGTTAATATTATTTTTTACTTACAGGCAAGCTTTCTCAGACTAATTTCTTTTGTTTTTTTGTCTGAAGACTACAGTTTTATATTTAATTTGTTAATTGTGTCTAAATTTAATTTTGAAAATAAAAATTAAAACCATAAAATCATTTACACAGAAATATACGAAATATTGTCGCATTTTTCCAACTTCTTGATATCCAGTTATTTCATTTTCTAATATACAGGGTGTCCCATTTTAATCGATCACCCCGCATAACCTTGCAGGTTTTGGTTTTGACCCAGAGATCGCACTCAGGGGCCATTTGAAGGTCAACTTCAAAATTTATCAATCAAATAGAAATCAATAGAAACTCCATTTGTTTTATATAAGATGTATATTTGATCTTGGGCCGTATGAAGGTCAAATCAGCTTTCCGACTGAAATGTTTACATTTTATGACAAAGGTTGATTCATTTTTGTGGTAAATTTCTTACAAACTAGCGTGGTCTCGATTTATGGTCTAATGTCCAAATCAAAAGTTAACCCTTAAATGACCCAACGCTCAAGGTCAAAGTCACAATTAAACCAAAAATCGTGACTACGGTTATTTGTATGGAATTTGCCATATTATATCTTATTTTTGTTGCGACTGAATTAAATAAAGCAGTAAATCATCAATAAATAGGTTAGTACATATTAGCCATAAAATTCAAGACACCTTCGTTTGTTGTAAAGTGTTAGGCGAGTCCAAATTAAATGAAAATTTTAAAAAATCCATTGGCGTTCTACATTTTTTGAAGAAAATGTCTACTGACTTGCGCCTAACTACGCCACTGGCGGCAGATAAAAATTGACATTATACTAAATACGCAGCTTATTACCAACGTACAATGAGTGCCAAATTTTTAGAACCTAACGTTGACTATTCCATATTTATTTAAAATAGGTATTAATACAATTTTTTAAATTTTTTAAAATTTTCTCAGAATCTAAGCGTTTCCGGCCACATGTTTATAGGAACTTTTTTCTTGCCTTAAGAAATTGGAAAAAACACTATTATAAAACAAATTAAGTTTGAAAATGGATATTTCATTCTACCTGACCCTGTATAATGTTTCAATAAAGCAGACGCAACTCCAGTCCCGTATAATCCTCGCTGGAGAAGATCGAATTTTGAAATTGAAGAAAAGTGCAAAATTCCGGTAAATTTCTTGCCGGTTTTCCATCGAGTATACTACTCGATCAAATACTAACAGGTTTTCTTGTTTAGTTATTCTGTTGAGGAAAAGGCGCGGAAAGACCTTCCCAAAACTAGTTATTCCATTGCGCTCACCGCCAGAGCCGTCTTTACGCAAACGCCTAATGGGCCCGGGCATGTTGGGGTCTCGACAATAGAAGCGATCGCAAAAAAATATGATTTACTCCAATATATTGCCGATAAAATTTGTCAAGAGAAGACCTTAAGTCCTCGAACCTCTTACCCCAGTAAAAACAAAAAAGTAATTAATTAGATTAATCATTTACTTTAATAATATTTATTATATAATATAGAAATGTAACATTACATTTTTTTTCTTGATTTTTTTATGAGCGAAATCAAAAATTATATCTGCAAAATTTACATTATACATATGCTCACTATTAGAGCAGATCTCGCGGTAAATTTGAAAGAAATAATTCTAAACAGATATTTTTTACACGAAAAAATTCTACACAATTTTTACACAGAATTTTTTTATCTATAGCAAATATCCTATCCTATGAAAAATTATTTCATAAATAGTGTAGGGTTATTTTTAAATAAAGTTATTATACAAAAAAAAAATTGATTGACTGATAACGTGCTTATAGAAATGTAAATTAAAGTAGAAAATAGCATTTATGATCATGTTTTTTTTTAACCGAAATATCACTTAATTGCTTTCTATACCCATCGTATGCATTTATTAGTAGGTATATAAAATTAAACTAAAGAATATTTTTGGACTAAAACTTCCCTTAGGTCGTACACTCAACCTCGCCCCCAGATATCATTTACAAATTACTATTTTATAAAAGTTATAACGGTAGCCACGTCTGATTTGCATTTATTTTTATTTCTTTAAGCAGCATATTTTTTTAAGCAAGTGAACGATACGGATGACTAAGAATCCCCCTAGTCCAAACAATTTTTTGCCATTTTCGGATTCAGCGAATTTTACTAAAGATAGATAGGGGAGAATTAGTGGTGTGTGGGGGGAATCCACAAGTCAGACTTTTTTTTATTATTTTCAGATTTAGCGGAAAATTTTACTAAAGATAGGTCTCTAAAACAATTTTTTGTTTGTCGACTTGTGTAATTAATAACTTTCCATTAAGTTGCCGAAAAATATCTGAAGATTTTTATATGCATCACCACATATATTAAGTGAATGGTGTGATAAAAATGTAAGAATTAGAAAATATTGTTTTGTCTGAATTTGTTCAACTGCTCAATGCTATTCTATAAATACGTCAAAAAATCGTTCTAAAAATAATGATAAAATTTCATGTATTCATTGAAGATCTTTACAAAAGGAAATTGCTTATTAAAACGTAATGGGAAATTCTAGCTTACACTTTAAATATCATTTATAATTGGCACGGTATGTACATTTGTACGTCACGGTAATTTAACAACGAAATGCTATTTGTATAGATTGCCTTTTGTTAAACCCACACGATTTCAAATTATGAGAAAAAGAGAATAAGAAAAATAAAATATTTAAACATAAAATAAACACTAGTGCTTAATAGCACCAACTCGAATACATAATTTAGGTCAATATAATAATTAATAATGCAAATGGGTTTAAAATCTCATTATTTAAATCAAAATGGGATTAAGTTATAAGATATAGTGTGTGAATTATAGATTTGCTACTTATTATACCGGGTGATTTTTTAACACGGTGTATGAAATATAAAATAAAAGATAAATTATATAGGTACCACAAATTGCGCAAAAGCTGCATATACAGTTATGGCATTGAATTCTAAATAACAAAACATGAATTTGAGTAGGTAAATATGTTGAGCGATGTTAATGCTAAAATGTATATATGTTTCCAGGTTATGGTTGAACAAGAATGGGTAGTCTTTTGAAACAATCGCTAACTGGAAATATACACAGAATTCGAGAATTTGAATTAGAAAAAGTAAGTTTGTTATCATAAGTATATTTTGAATTATAAATATAAAAACATTACAAATACATACCAACTGAGTGACCCGGAATAATAATTTTAACCACTTATTTAACACATCAACAGCAATAAATTTTGTTTAATGTATTTTTTCCATTTCCATTTTTCCACATTTGACTTAAAGAAATGCCTACTTTAAATTTTTTTGTTAGGCTAAATTAAATATTAACACCAACTAATTCCCTTTTTTATACTAATTATATTAAAAAACATATATGTTATATTAAAAACTGGCGCCAGCTAAAATCTATGATCTGCCATTGTTTTTCTCGGGTTAGGTTTTGTCGGGGGTTAACTTGCTATTACAAACCCTAGACACTACGGACGGAACCCTCCTCAGACTCGGACAACAGTGATCCTTTAAGACTTTATATAGTTGCTTCTGTAATTGGTCAGATTCAATGCTTCCACATGTTTCGCCTTTCCTCATTGTCGACATCTTCAGTGACTTCAAAATCATGACGGATTTTGTATCACTAACAAACAAGATTGAATCAGTGGTTATTTTTCAATACCAACATTATTTCTCTCTTATAAAAGTAGTCCCTCTTATCCGTGGACACGTTATATATTAAGTCCAACGTCATTTTTTAGTTGACTCTTGGAAAGGGAATATATTTTTTTCTGAAAAAAATTGCCTAAACAAAAAAGTGGAAACATAACTTTAGTGAGATATTTATATAATATAAATACATTTGCAATAACAAATAAGCGTTAAAGAATACGCATGTTCATGTTCATGCTCATTTACCTTTGTCGTCTGTCTTTAAAAATGTAAAAAAGTAAAATTTCTTATAAAAAAATTAGAAAAATAACGGAACACATATGGTAGATCACCTGATATACAGTTTTTTTTATTTTTCTGATGAGATTCCCGTAAACGCTAATTAATGTTATCAAATTTTCAGGTAAATTTAGCCGACGAGTTCGATATTCTACAAATAGTCGGAGAAGGTTGGTTCGGAAAAATTCTTTTAGTGGAACATAAAGCTACGGATACCGAGATGGTACTAAAAGCTCTTCCTAAACCTTACACATCGATCAAAGACTTCTACAGAGAATTCCACTACGGATTACATTTGGGAGTCCACAAGAATATCATAACGGCGTACGATGTGGCCTTCGAAACCGCAGGATTCTATGTATTTTCCCAAGAATATGCACCACTTGGTACGTGTCAAATATAAGTGCACCAATAAAGTTTTAAATTGATATTGCGGGAAACAACTACTCTTAGGGTTAATGCAATATCTAGTAAGCAGCTGGAATCAGTCGTCAGCCGAACCCACCAGACATATACTGGTTTAGAATTTATTAGTTCTCATTAGGTGGACGAATGATCAAGTTATTTTTGTTAAGAAAGGAACGCCAATTGAATGAGGTGCATTGGTTACAATGAAGTAGATTAGGGACGTTTGCAAAAAATTGTTAACGGTAACCAAGGTTCTATGTCATTGATTTGTATTATACTGTAGTATAGTCTTTCCGATCTCAAATGCAAGAACCAAGAGGTTGGCAGTAAGTACCAGGTTCGGTCGCTGACACAGCAACTCTGCATTGAAATATTTGAAATACGTATTCCTATATTTATTTAGCCATACCCATATACAGGTCTGGTCGCCCAGTTGAAGAATGAACACGCGGGCAAAGGCAGCATAAACACTGCCGCACTGGGCGAACTGGCCATAAATTCAGTTGTCAACAAATGACCTAGCAGTGCAGAGAAGCAATGCGGAATTTGGTGTGATTCGGGTAATTTTAATTTACTATAGGCACCCTCTATTAGTCGTTCATATTAAAATTGTGAAAGGAGAAATAAGAGGGATATTTTGTTTACTAATATTATTACAACATGACATTTTGGAGACCTTTTGAAACGGAACAAAACGAAATTTACCATCAATATAATAAATCTGTTTGAGAACATAAATAATTAAATTTTATTTAAATATTTTTGGCCAAATGAACATAAAATAGAAATTTTCTACACATTATATACAAATTATTAATTTTTTACCTTTAGCAGAAAACTTTTTTAGGAACGCCTATGAAACTCATTAAATTTTATTGCTAGGCGTTTTTATACATGTTCAGCTGACTTCGGAAAGACCATAGGGAAAGACATACATTCAAAGGTATATATTCAAGTGGAGATCTACTTATATGATTTGAAGAAACGTTCTTGAATTAATTTGTGTGTATGACATGTTACATATACAATTAAGATTGGTAGCATTTTTTATTTGGCATCAAACGACAGAGAAAAGTATAGTGATTTGACATTTAAAGTTATAGAACAAGTAACGACATTGGAAATACCGCCAAAAATTATTATTATTGCAGATTAAAAATAAGGTCATTGATTTTCTCATGTAAGTTCCAACATGTCATATTTTGCAAAAAAAATTTCTTAAAAACGGATAGGTTTTGCTCGGAAAATTTTAGTGGATATCCATATTTCTAGCCGCACCATCATGATCTTGGTTCTCTTAAGAGATACAAAATCGATTGAATTAGGACAAAAGTTACAAAATTTTTTAACCAACACATCGAAGAAAATTTGTCCTATCTTTTTTCGTAAATATGGACTATGTAAAATCAATTCATATTAATCTAGACATAAGTAATATGATTTTTGTTTCAAAACGAAGAAACATCACGTTTTTTTCATCCTGTCATCAAATTGTGTAATTCCAAAATACTTTAAGGATGTTGGTTTCCCTGTAAGTGTCACGTTGGATACCTTCAATGCTTTATTATTTCAGGTGACTTGACTTCTAATGTGTCAGAAATTGGAATTGGCGAACTCCACACCAAAAGAGTTGCTAAACAGTTAGCTGCAGCATTGGAACATATACATTCCAGAGATCTGGTACATCGCGACGTAAAACTAGATAACATTTTAGTGTTTAAATCGGACTTTTCCCGTATCAAATTATGCGATTTTGGTGAGACACGAAGAGTTGGAAGTATAGTACTCCGCCGAAACGAGTGGTTACCATACGCCGCGCCCGAAGTACTTCAAGTACAAACAGATGGAAGCTACATGTAAGTAGTGCATCAGTGTTATGGTAAATATAAAGTACTCTTTATTTATTTATAGCGTTGCCAAGGCAGTTATGATTATGAGTCATCTTCAGTAAAACAAACTATTGAACAGTGAACGGCAAATTGAAATTTAATCGAAGTACAAGAGGGCGTTCAACTTAAGACGAATTTTTCCGTGCTAGTTTTCAAATAATAATTACACAAAATTATTTTCAATGACTGACTTCAGAATTCCAGTTTTCAATCACAAATATTTTAATGGGCTTCTCACATCAAAATCCTCAATTGAAGTGCGATTTTTGGTTAGGCAGAAATAGTTTAATAAAAATAACTCTTAACTGGTCCTTTTGGCACATGAAAAACTTAAACCATACTATAAATAAATAACACCACATCGAGCTAATCGAGTGGTATGACGTCACAAATGCTCTTAGAACAGCTTGGATTTACGAATTATAAATGATTTATCACGATTAATATTAAATTGTAAATTAAATATTACTGATCGAGCCCATTGTCTAAAACGGATACATATGTTCAATTTGACATAGACAGATGCAAAATTTTGGTTTTTAATTTTCAATATGTTGGAGTCTATTTATTACAGTTTGTTAAAATATTCTATGTACTACATATTTGTTTCTATTTCCACGTTAAATAGTCTTAGCGGATACAGTAACAGAATTTTCAAAAACAAAAATGGGTTGTGGCAATGACGTTTGATTATTTTTTAACGTAAAACTTATTTAAATATTAGAAAGATATACGCAAGAATGTACAAATAAATTTCTTGTCAAAGTTGTTACAAAAATAGGAATAGGACTTACGAAAACAAGTAGGTACCAATAATAAAAAGGAAAAACTAGCAATTCTCACTCGCGAAAACTAAAAAGAAAAGATCTCTTTTCTCGAACACGTTTCTTAAAGTTATCATCAACACTATCAATAATTTCAAGTCTTATTTGAATACCTACTTTTTTCGATTTTTCATGTTTTTCATTTGTAGTGGTAGGTGAAGAATAAACTTTACCATTTATAACTTCCTACATTAAAAATGATATTTTTTTTGGATCGGATAGCAAGTTAATTAACTTCATCCAATCTATTTATATGAAAAATATTGATTTTAAACATTATTTTTGCTATTTTGGCTTGGAAAGTATGCTATTGTAACTAATTAAGTGTGTTAAACTGGTAAACGTAAAACAGGTTTATGATAAGAAATTCAATCAAAGTAAACGTAGAACACAAATTTTAAAATAATTTAATATTTTTGTTTTAGGGCGCACACGTCTCATGATGTCTGGCAATTCGGAATAGTGATATTCGTCTGCCTCACCGGATGTCTGCCTTGGCAAAAGGCCGCCCCAGATGATCCAAGATACATTAGATATATCTCGTGGCAAAATTCCACCATTCCTATCAAGAGGCAACCGAAACTTTTTAAATTAGTATCGTCTAAGGCGCAACGTTTGTTTAAAAAATATTTGGAGCCTAGACCGGAAAAAAGACCAGCTGGCCTGGCCGAGGTGCACAGATTTTTGGACGACAGATGGATGTCAAAAGGTATGGAACAAACTAATGAAACATTAAAAGAAGACGAGGGGCTTTGCCCTTCAATGTATAGTTTCCACAGTAGTCCCGAGGAAAAGAACAAATTGTTATTTACCCTGACACAGTATGGATTAGAAACAACTGTGGACCGAGTAGCTAAAAAAGACAGGATAAGACAGTGGATTCAAAACAGCGTTATAGAAGAAGACGACGAATTTGAAGAAGAAATCGATGAAGAAAACTTGAAAATACATGACAATCAAAATGGACCAATAGGAGAGCGAGTTAAAGAACGGGGACCAGTATCAGAAAGCAAAGTTAAACAAAACAAACAACGCACCACATCATCTAGAAGGGAGAGGAGAATGTCTACGTTAAAGAAATCTAATAATGTTTACAAACCCCCAGTAGACCCTCGAATTCCATTAGAAAAACAAAAATTCATACAAGCAAACAATTATAACGTTGTAACATCGGCTGAACACGTAAATGATTATCGTGAATATGAAAATGACGTATTCGGTAATGAGAAAAATTCTGCAGTGTTCAATATATCGAAAGCTTTACCATTTCAAAATGTTAAAGTTTCAAATTCCTTAACATCGTCCGAAAGCGCTTTTAGTAGTGATTCTAGTATAACCGTAAAACACAAAATAAATATCCAACATCCTCAAATTGAAAACATCAATTTAAACGGTTCATCTAAAGAAAGAAATAAATACAAAACATAAAAAGAAGATACAATTCGAAAGTTTAAAAATATTGTGATAATCGACAATCTTACTTGTTAAATGAAACCCAAAAATCTTTGGAATGTTCTGCAATACAATGTAATTTTTATTGAGTATAGTTAGGTAAAAATATAGGCAACGAGGTTGGAAGGGATAGAGGGAACAAAGACTGTAACTTGTCTGCAAAAAGACTGTCGTTTTCTGTAATTAGTAATTATTAATTTGTGGGATGATGCGTGGTGGGTGGGGTGACAGGAGTGGGAAATTGATAGTACGCAAGTCCCATCTATCTCTTCTTACGTCTATGGTATATATTTATAATTTAATATCAAATATTCCTTGAAACTAAAATGATGAACTTTGACTATAGATAGATATACTTGCTACTTTTAGGATACTAAGAATTATTAAACTTATTTTTAAATTTAAGATCAACGAACTGACCTATGAGAAAATTATAATTATTCCTACATCATAGGAAAGAAATGTCTACTAACTATACTCCGCGGTCGAAATTATAGAGAGTGACTAAGACATAATATAAATACACTATTACTATAATGCGCATAAAATATAAAATGATTTTTATAACGGTTTAATATTATTTATCTTTGTGCCGCTCACTACGCACATCCATAGAATCTATAATCGTCTATAGACTGAGTTACACTGAACGTCGATCTATATTCTATCTCTGTATTTTGCACTTGGTAGGGAATAGGGAAATTCTTTTTTAGTGGGTGTAAACGGACTTGATTTAGCCGTCCTGAGAAACGTCATAGCATAAGCGTAGACGAGGAATCTAATTCCATTGCTATAATAAATTTATAAATTAAAAAAACACAACTGGGACGTTTTAAAATGCTGTAATAATTAAAATGGATCAAAGTGCCGGTTATAGCAAACCGTAAAAAAATATTAGATGTTATGTTTTATTATCTTTTTTCAATATTTTCTATATCTTGTTGTCTTTTACGCAGACACGCCAATGGATTTTCGTTCCCGGCACGGTTCATCCCCTTACTAGTCCAAAAGCTAGCGATGAGCCACTCTCTATAATTTCGACCGCGGAGTATAAAATGTAAACGCATGCTTATGCGGGCAACGGACGGACGGCATACATCGATTTTTTTTCCTGGTATTTATATTTACAAAAAATACTTTAATAAGTAAAATATTTTATCTCATGCGTGTTGTCGTCCCTCTGCTGCCGACAAGTGCGAGTTTTCGCGAGTTATCTCTGGTTTAGACGGTATATAAAAAGAATGTGTTTCGCAATTTTGATTCAATTTGTATAACTGTATAAGTTACTCTACAAATTTAAGTCAGTGTAAAATATATATATTTATCAGTAATTTTTCTCTAATCTGCACATAAAATATTGATTTATGAACAATAATGTACACATTCCAGATGTGACCCAAAATAAGTTTGGTACGAAAATTCAAAACCGATTTTTTTGGAATTGCGTGGTTTTGCATATCAGCCGATGCTGTGTTATTTTATTACGAGCAGGCCCGGCTTTAGGGAGAGACTACGGGGCTATAACACTTACGAGTTCGGGGGGCCTCAGAAAGGTCTGGCAAAATTAAACTAAAAAGTGTTTGTTAGGTTTTGCTTTTTTTAGAATTAAATCAAAAGGTGTTTAGTTTTTCTAAATCAAACCAAAACGTGTTTAGGTCTTGAAATTGTATATCGTTTTTTATTTTTAGAAAAAGGGCCTCCGTAGAGCTTGTAGCCACGAGCCTCACCATAGGTTAATCCAGCCGTGATTACGAGTATATAATTTACTCACTGAGTAAATATTTCTTTTCATGATTAGTGTACTATATTGTGCAAACATTAAAAATATGTAATAATTTGATGTTGTTAATACTTTTTAAAGATAAAGTCGCAAGTTTGAAAATAAACTATAACAAAGGTATTGAAAACACAACATATATTAAAATATATGAATAAAATTTTTCCTTATTTTAAATTAATTTTATTACAATGACCAATCATTATTTTTCTACAACTGGAATTTTTTAAAGTAAAAAAGTTAAAAGTTTTTTCATTTAAAAAGTAAATTAATGTGAATTGCTTCCTTTTGGAAATTATATGAAGCCAATAACTTGTAATAGCTTAATGTAGGTACCTAATAAACTAAACTCGTTAGATACATTAAATAATATGATCTTCATCAAAGTAGTTCGTTTATCCAAAAAAGTTACTACTTAATATATCTCGTTAACGAGGCCCCAAATCAAAATCTTACAAGAGTTAAAAATATTGAATAAAACGCCGCTTTATCTAAAAAAAAATGTTCGGAAAGCATAGGCGTACCTACTCAAAAAAATAGGGGGTCCATGGGTACTGCAACCCTCCTCCCCTGCGTTCGTGATTTGAGATTTTAAACCAAAAAAATTACACAAAAGTGTGCCGATGACTTAAGATCAAAATATGTGCTAAATTTTAAATAAATATCTCTACAATCACCGTAGTTATCAATAAATAATTTTTTAAATTTTAATTTTGACACAAAAAAGTCCCAATACTTTAGTTCAGAGAAGTTAACAGGTTGACCTACTAATTTGTAACGCCCTGTATAATAAGATTTTAAAATATTGCTATTTACTGCAATAGCTTTAAGAGTTATAACAGAGAATACTGTAAGAGCTGTAAGCTGTAAGGGCAGTATAAGAGCTGTTGAGGCTCTTATAGTATCACAGTTTTTCCAGGTACTGCAGCCGTTACAGATACTACAGCTCTTACGGGTACTACGGCCAGTTGCGTCTTTTGTTAGTTTGGATATATAAAGTAGATTTGTTTGGATGGTCTCAACCGACGTACCTACTCATTTATAAGATATATTTTAAAAAATTTGTTACGAGCGCTTAGCCAAAATATATTTAGGTTAGGTCATCCCAGTATCATTTATCTAGGGGTCATCCAATGCGCCTCAGGATCACTTTCTTTAGGTGTTTTTTGGGTATATGCTAAGGATACATTCATTTTGAGCATGAATCCAAGAGCACGATCATGTGAACTTCGCCATCTTGTTATAATTAAGTTCAAATTATGCACTCTATGTAATAAAGACAGTATTATTACTATTATTATATGCATATTCTTAAAACAGGTCCATACAACTGTGAGTGGTCTACCTATGGTGCCTATGGTCTACCATGACAAAGTTTGTGCAGTCTACCCAGTTTGTTTTGGTCTATGGTATACCGGTTGACCTTGACTGTTAACTAGATACTTAACCTAACCAAACTTTTATTAAATAATTATGAATTTTATTTATTATAGATTATTTAAATTTGTAGATCACAAAGTTAAATGTACGTTTAATTTTAATAGATCTTACTGGACCACATCAGCAAAATTTCAGTCATTTGCATCAAAATCAGTTAACAGATCGCCGTATAAATTTAGATCTATTCCTCCGACAGGATGGTTTTTATTGGTGTGAATATATATTCAAACATTTAATTTGTATTTATAGTATATATATATTTCCTAGATAATACCAATTTCAACATTTTCGTTAGGGGTATGGCAAGTGCAAAGAAAAAAATGGAAGGAAAATCTTATTATTGATTTACAAACTAAAACTGGTAGTGATCCTGTTCCGTTGCCAGAAAGGTAATATAATTGTATAAGGAAAATTCAAAAGAACCATTTTTTTGTTAGAAGAGGTTTTGAGCATTTAACAATCTAAATAATTTCTAATTTGAAAAATTTTTGAGTCCATTCTGTTCGCAGAGCATTTATGACATCATACCATGCGACTGGCTTGGAACAGTTAAAATTAAACCTCTTACTCAAATCGTACAATCAAGTTTTTTGTTAACGATGTTCTATTATATCACAAATAGTTATGTTATATTTTCAGTTTAGAAGATATTTATAAATTAGAATATCAACCAGTTTATGTAAAAGGAACATTTTTGCATGACAAAGAACTATATATAGGACCCCGTTCTCTTCTGCTGAAAGGAGATGCCTCAACTCAAAGTACATTAGTTACAAGCAGGGGAAATTCAAGCCATGGGTATCTGGTTATAACACCATTTAAGCTAGTTGATAGAAAGTATAATGAAATTTGTTTGCTATTAGGTACATATGTATAAGTGAAATATTTTAGCGAGCTTATATTGGTTAATAGAGGTTGGGTTCCTACTAAAAAGAAGGACCCGAGTAGGCGACACAAGGGACAAACAGAAGGAATTGTCGATGTGGTAGGTTTAGTGCGACTACATGAGAATAGACCTACCTTTATACCAAAGAATGAAGAAGGAAGTAATACTTACTTTTATAGGCAAGTTTTTAAAATATTTATACATTTAATTCTTAATAATAATTTAAGTTTATTAGTGTCAAATATGCATCCATAAATATATAATTTGCAAGTCAAGTGATTCTCAAAATGGATAGAAATAAATATTTTTTTAATTTACGATTTACTCTATATAGGGTTACCAGATGAAAGCTTGTTCACCCAGGACAAGCCTTTAAGGAAATCTGGACAAAATCCGGCCATCATAATTTTTTTCAGCAAAGTAACAATTTTCACATTATCTACTGATTGATGATGGTTACCATTACACCATTTTCATGTTAACTAACTAAAAAATGGGATAACGAAATTAACTGAAATTTTGGCACAAAATAGAGTAATAGTGAGGCTATGTATGGTCCAAATTTCAAATTTTTTTGCCCCTACGTTTTCTTAAAATCGGTTTCTAAATTAAACGGTCTATTTCATTTATTTCGATAGTAAATCTATAGAAAACATGACAAATAACTCATAACCAACCATTATCTGACCATTTTATCGTACTACGAAAAATGTGTTTTCAGAGATTTACATCAATTGTCTGCAGCTACGGGAAGTTTACCAGTACTTTTAGATGCTACAAATGAATTTGATGTACCGGAAGGACCTATTGGAGGACAAACAAGAATTTCTTTGAGGAATGAACATTTATCCTACATTTTAACTTGGTTTAGTTTAAGTGGTGCTACATCTTTTATGTGGTATAAAAGATTTTTTAAATAGATAGCAATAGTCGATTTTCTGACTTCAAAAATATAATACATATTTAAAATAATACACGATTTTTTTTGCTAAACAATTTTGAGCAATTTCCGAATTAATTATCATAAACAGGAATGTTGCAATGTTTCACTTAAAAAGCTTCATTTTTGAGATGTAGCATTTGATTTTTCTCATTTAAATTACGTATTTTTTCAAGATTTTTTAGAATATGTACGGTCAAAAATACAAAAATTATCACTCATTTAAGATTTTCCTCATTCTGTAAATTATGAATTGTAATTATTAAATTTTTATTTAATTCGGTGCTCTTCGAAAAAAAAAATCATCACAGATATTTAAATCGGACATGAATGCGAATTAATTAAAAATAATCTGCAAATATTTTAAATTACAAAAATAAAAAATTTTAAAATAAATAATTTAAAAAATATGAAAATTTCACAATATCAAAAATCATTGACATAATGCATATACCGCTGCACATATTGCCAATTTGTCACTTTTACCCAAAAATCACAAATAAGAATTTGAGTAACGTTAGTTTCGCTACTTTTCATTGTTGCTCGGCCATTTAGGTATGCGGTAAAGTAATAAACGAGTTTAGTTTTTTTTAAAACCCAGTAGTGGAAAATAGGCCTTTGAGAAGATGGAATGCAGTCTTTGCTTCTTGTACCTCTTCGAACCTATTTGGGTAAAGAAAAGAATAACACAATGTTATGGAAGATATAAATTTATAATTGGCACTAACATTGAGATAAACACAATTACATTTACATATATAAAATAAATATATAAAAATCTACGCTTTATAAACATGTTTTTAATAATAATGTAAAAATATATAATAAATCCTCTTTCCCTCACTCAAATCACAAGGAAGTTAGAGATTTTGCAAACAGAATTATACAGGCATACCTCACTCTATGATGGTTAACATTACTTACTGTATTGATATTTTTCAATTTTGTTGTATATTTCTTTCTCACGTTTTTTGTTAGTTCTTATTTATCTTACGTGATTTTCTGTTTAGAAACCTAAACCATCGTGCTGGTGAGATCCGCCTCTATAATATGATATATAAATAATATAAAGGTTTTAACTTTTGTACACATAGTAAAATTATTTTGGCAGTTCAACATGTCAGTTTTAAGGTATTATTTTAATAACAAAGATATTAAATATATATCAAATATTTTTTATAGTAATAAACGATGTAACATTTATCAAAACTTTAAACATTTTTTATATAGGGATGAAGTAGGAATACACATATTTCAAATTCTACGTTCATATCTGTGGGAGTATTTGAAATTTTTGCGTATAGTAGAAGGAATTAGTTAATAGAAAATCTTTTCTAAATAAAAAAATTCATATAAACATAGATTGCAAAATAATACTTAATTTGTAGATACATATACCATTTTTCTTTTAATTCAAAAGTAAAATCAGAATATTTATTCTTCAAATTATAAAAACAAATTCCTTTAAAAAGGTTCCTCATTGGAATTTTGCATAATTTAAATTGAGTTTTTGATATTCTTACCTATTTATTACCTATAAATGTTATTATACATGTTTCAATTTAAACAGAACATTTTTTTGAATTTAAAATCACTACATTTTCCGATTTCTTTTTTATTTAAAGAAAAAGCTTTTTCATAATTTTTAAAAATTAAAAAAAACTCAATTTTTTCGCAATAAATACACCACTGGAAATACTAGACACCGTATATATACAGGGTGATTCAGAGCTTATCCAAAAAAATTTGGGAATAGATAAGGCTTGAGAAATTGAGTTAATATCGTAAAAAAAAAATTTGTAAAATCCTTAGTTTCTGAGAAAAAAATTATTGAAGTTGTAGGAGTTTCAAGCATTACATTAGCGTTATTCGCAATACGCGTGGAGAGCCACGTGGCATCAGCGACTCCGAATACTGAAATCCGATTTTACAATCGTCGTTGCGATAGTGTTTACAATAGTTCTTTTAGTAGTTAGTGTAAAAAATGGCATGCGTGTACAGCAGCTCGGAGTTGATGGATATTGTTTTAATCTATGGTGAAGCAGGACAACATTTGTGTTAGTTCGTAGAAACTGAGTAAGACGGGCCCAAATGTGTTTACACGTCAGTGGACAAAATTTTGAACAGTTGTAACATCGGATATTTCAAATTATTTTATTAAAACCACAAATTAATTTTAATAATTATTCAATTTGCTGATATAAAATAGGTGCTATAAAATTCTAATTATTGCTTTTCTTGCGAAATTCTTCCAAGTTTTTGTCCGTTTTTAATCACACTGCTGCCATGTCGGTCGCATTGTGCGAGGTCAGGTTTTACAGTGGAGTGCTGTGCAGAAGTGTATTTTCAAATCATTTTCGAACTGCCCCTTTTGACTTTTATCTTTACAAAATTGTATTTGTAACAGTTCCCTGTACATTCAAAAATTTTTTTTGGATAAGTTCTGAATCACCCTGTATAGAGCTTTCATAAATAATCACAAGCCACATGACCAGTAACTTTGCAACAGTAATTTATTTCCTTTACGATAGCAACTAAATTTTGGAAAAATTAAAAATTATTAAAACTAAGATCAAGATTAGGTATGTTAAAGCACAACATTATGTTTCACTAGCTGGTGATTGGGAATTTTCAACGAGATTTTATTCAACCAATCGGCAATACCATAATTTCAATAACATTGAGATTTAAAAAATTCTGTTTTTCTTCTTTAAATCTGATAAATGTATCTTATTCTCAAAAAAATACATTATTATTACAGTGGAAACTTGTTTCTGGACGACAAAAAATTCGTTAACAATAAGTAACACAGTCTGTATACATTTTATTTTGTTTACGTTACACTAAAAAGTAAAATGAGAGATAGAGAGCGATATATTCACCTACCATTCACTTGTTGCACCTTGACAAGTTAATACTAATACTTCATGTTTATGTTACATATATTCTGAGACAAAGGTTTTATAGTCCAGATAAACTAGAAGTCTGGATAAACGGTTTTCCACTGTATTACTTTTTATTATTTCACTTGTAAATGTTACTTGGAAAATCCGAACTCAATGTAACGGGTTGTATGTAATATCGGTAAATTTAAGTATGATTTATGTACTAAATATCACCACATATTTAAATATCAATGAATTTTATTAAAAGTGTAAGATGTAACAGCTGTAACTTGTAAAAATATCCCGCCATTTCAATTTTGCACTATTTCAAGAAATCGTTTCATCTGTCAGATTTTGGCATTCATATTTCTGGTCTTTTCTTTTCATCAAGAGACAGAAACATACCTATCAGGTAAAATATATACGTGTAATAATTTTTGTACTTGAAGAATCAAGGGCTATTTTTAAAAAACTTATGCTAAATAGGATGATAACTACTAGAAAATCTTTCAAGAATTTCATATCATACCTATTGGCGAGGAATACTCCTTTTTATCTACTATTGGTTTATAGCAATTTCTCAAGGTTTTGCTAAACTTGTTTTATATTTAACAATTTTTTGACCCAATAAGCTGTAATCATTAAATTTCTAGAAAATTCAGTGATGTAGAAAGAGCGACTCCAAAAACTTAGGTTTTTGGGGTTGCTGATTATGAATCTGAAGTCAGAATTTCAAAATTCAAGATGGCGGATCCAATATGGCGGATAAAATTTTTGACATTGAACCAAATTCGACCAAATTGGGGATACAGAGGTTTTTGGGGTCGCTGATTACGAATCCGAGATTAGACTTACAAAATTCAAAATGGTGGATCCAAGTTAACGCTCAAAATTTAAAAAATTAATGCAATGCTATCAAGTTTTCGTATTTTTGGGTTATACTTCGTTCATAAATTATTAATAGTAGATAAAATCAGAATGTTGGAACTAAAAAACTTTTCATTTTCATCAATACTCCCAGTTTCCCGGATTTCATCAAATTGCCATGTTATTAAACAGAAAAATTATTAAAATACCAAATATTTTGTTTTTTTTTTTGGACGCTCTATCTCAAGAACCAAGCCATTGCGGACCCTTTTTATCTTAAAATTAGTCTTTTGGCTTCATGCTTTAAAGTTTATACAAATACTTAATAAACACCCTGTATAGTATGCTTATTATGAACTGAAGATAATGCTTACTCGAAAATTACTCGTTCTTCGAATAAAATAGGGGAAACATTTTTCCTTTCAAATGCAATTGTTTTTTGGCTCAAATGATTTAAAAAATTTAAAAAATTGCATTTATAGTAGGTATATCTTGTGAATGCAATAAACATTATATTGGAAAGCCCCCTTAATCTGTATAAATTAGAATAGACAGATTACATTAAAAAAAAACGAGAATTTGGTAAATCAAAATTTTGCAGTCTTATTTGGGAAAACGATCATATAATTCAATTCGGTAAAAATTTTGGAGAAGGAAAATAATACCATTAAACAAAAATTAAAAGAGACTGTGATAATTTTGTTGAACGGTGAGAGATGCGTGTCAAATTAATCTGTGACCTCGAGTCTTTGTTGGCTAAGTAAGTAATAATGGAATAAACATTATATGATATTGCTAACTATACAAAAAACAAAATTAATTAAACTGTCAAAAATAATTAAAAACGGAAAGCCATATATTCAGAAGTGCGAGATATCTAGTGGAGTCTATTTTGTATTTGTATGATTTTTTTAAGTGAAATTTTTGGTTAGGTAAAACTATTTTCATAAAAATAACCCTTCACTGATTCCTTTGGCAAAATAATTTTTTTCGCACGTGGCAAAATACCCAATACATAAATTGCAGAGGTGAACAAAAATGTGAATGAAATAATTTAAATCTCTGGTTATACGACATTTGATAAAAAAGCAACGGGAATTTTCAAATTATATTCAAATATCGGTTTATTTGTCTATTGGTAGTACTGACAGTGACGTACCTGTAAATTTTTAGCCAGCTGTCTTTCTTAGCTTGTATTTACCGAGCGAATGAGTATGACTTACCTCGGTGTTTTTGGCGATTTTTTGTGTGGCGAAATGTCGGATCAGAGAGTCTGTCTGATATTTTGTGTTAGAAACGGAATTAAGTGCAGCAAGGCATTCAAAATGTTAAAGGTCTTTGACGACGATACTTTGTCACAGCCACAAGTTTATCGACGGTATAAATGTTTTCAGGAAGGGCAAGAAGATTGAAGATGAGGCGGAATTTGATCAAATGTGAAGGTCCTTCTAACCATTTTCTTCGACAATTCGTCACGAATTTTTACTGTCTGTACTGCCAAATTCCGATACTTTTTGATCAATCCTCGTATTTGCACCAGATACTGTTTCTTATATGTAAAAGTGAATAGGGTGAATCTTGGTGCCAAAATGACAGAAAATTTTACAAGATACACGAAGTTGGACGATTAAAAAATTTTGGACGTTGATATGCTTACTGACATCTTGCTACTTGTAACAAAACAAAAATAAACTTGCAAAAAATCGCTTTTCCTGAGGAAATTTTGTTACTTAAGGGCATTATACCGTATTATAAAGCTTAAATGCATTATTAATGTAAAATACTGTGTCAGACAGCCTCACAATACAATCGTTCGGAATTTAATATTATAGCATTTAATAATTATAAATATTCGAATATATTAAACAAAATCAGATTACAGTATCCATTTCTTATTTGAACACTTTTGGACTTTAATATCTTTATATAAACGATGATAAATATCTGTACTTACAATCAATCCATATCTAATTATCATTTTGTAAATTTCTACCTCTAATAACCTATCAAGTGACGAATATATTATTTTTTCTTTTTACTAGATGAACTCTTCACGTTGTTATTGTTCATTCCGTTGGGAGGGTGCGGGACGCTTCCATTTGCAATTCTGAAAAGAATTGTTCAGTCAAGTTCATATCGAGGGTGTCACGTCGGAAGGGCGTAAGAGCCACTATAGTCGGTTTTGGGTTTTTAGGGCGTATGACCTCATTTAATCAATTCGCTTAATATATCAGAAGGGCGTATATATTCTAACGCATTTTACTTAGGCGTATGAACCAATTTTGCAAAACTATATCAGAAAGGCGTATGCTCATACGCCCTTCTAATAATCGGCTCAGCTAATTCGGTAAATTTCACATAACCTTAAATTTGGTTAAACTTGTTTGTAGATAGAGTTTGTATTGTTTTTGGTGTTTTGTAAGTGTCCTACAAATCCGGTCAATGTTACAACATTGCTATATTCTGAAAAATTTCCTATAAATAAATTAAAGTATAACAATTTACTATGTGCCAAGGCAAAGACGCAGTCATTCCTACAGAATATAATATGCTAGGTCTTGATTATTATTAGATTGGACACTAACACATCAATTTGGTTTATAAAAACACACTGAAATAATGAAGGAAATAATAACACGTTTTCCTCGCATACACGCATATGATATGAAAGAATACGCCTAAGCTGTAAACTGATACATCAAGAATTGAAATGATGCAGTGTTGTTACTTTTAAAAATTGTGGTGGACACTAACACACCAATTTCGTTTATAAAAATACACTGGAATAATGAAAAGGAAGGAAATAATAACACGTTTTCCTCGCATGCACGCATATGATATGAAAAATACGCCTAAGCTGTAAACTGATACATCAAGGATTGAAACGATGCAGTGTTGTTGATCTCTCTTTTACTTTTAATAATTGTGGACACTAACACACCAATTTCGTTTATAAAAACACTGGAATAATGAAAATGAAGAAAATAATAACACGTTTTCCTCGCATGCACGCATATGATATGAAAGAATACGCCTAAGCTGTAAAATACATCAAGAATTGAAACGATGCAGTGTTGTTAATCTCTTTTTTACTTTTAAAAATTGTGGTTTGATTTATTTATGAAACTTCTAGTACAGTTTCTATGCACATAACTTTACAGTAAAAAAAATTAATAGTAGTGAAAAATTTTTTGATATTTCTGGGCAAGAAAAAATACAAATTATTACCTATTTTCTACTCGAGGAACGGAAGCTCTTTGGTCGTCCATTCTACCAGACTGGAATCTCATAATAAGCGAAAAGAAATCTTCATCGGGAACCGTAGCTCCGCTTTTTTTGGTGTTTACAGGTGGAGGATCAGACTCGGCATCTACCGCTGGTGTCGGCAAAGGTGATCTTTGATCTTCCAAACGAGATCCTTGACATCTCACCAACTGATCTAAAAAATTGTCATCCGGGATGCTATTACCCCTCGATTCGGCTAATCTCTGGAGGGAATTTGTCTGTAAACCTAAAATGTAAGAACATTATCAAAATATTATTTTTTTTCTTGACATAAATTGTAATTGTATATATTTCGACATGGGACAGAATTATCGAAAATTACGCAAGTAATTTTGATAGACAATACAGGTTTTTAATTAAAAATTGAGAAAAAATACTTTATATACAGGGCGTCTTCGAAAAAGTACCATAAATCCTTCTTGGACGAAAATAAACCGTCTTAGATCAAGTTACCTTAGCATAAACGTGCTTCTTTAAATATTTATGTTATGTACCTGGCAAGTGTGGCAGCGAAACTCTTTGCTCGTCCATACGTTTACTCTGCATTCCTGCGATCATTTCGATGAGATCTTCCGGACCTTCGTTATGCGGTAAATTCACGACGTTTGTATTTTCTTTGTTGTCGACAGTTAAAGAGCAACGCTGATCATCCATCCGTTTGGACTGGAATCGAGATAATAAGTCGAAGAAGGAATCCTCGTCTTCATTTTTAATTGGCGTGGTAGATTTTACTTGAGGCAATGAAAGACTGGGATGTTTTGCGTCTGGCGTGAGCTATAAGATTATTTTAAATACAAAAATGTTTATTGAACTAAAAACAAAGGAAGCATTCCAAATTGTGGTGCTCGTTCACCTAACATTTACAAGTCCTGACACCAATTGTGTAAACGCATGAGATTATGAGAATATTTACAGCACAGTAATCAGTTGAGTGAAATTACAATTTTTTTTTTAATTTCAAAAATTATGTTTCTTTTTTTGTATTCTATACTAAACTGCCTTCTAATTTTGGCCGCACGTCCTACATACCATTTCTACCGTACTTGAAAAATCTCACTAAATGTTACCTTTGTCTACATTTAAAAAATGTTGACTGTAAATAATGATTAGGAATTATTGAAATAGAGGGAAAGATTGACCATTTTAAATATTTGAAGGATATGAAAAAATAATTTTTGTTACCTCCAGGTGTAGATTTTAGTCGATATGAAGTAGCTTTTGAAATAAAGAGTGACCGCAAAATTTACCCGTTTTTTCACAATTCGCAGAGAACTAAAGAAAATAGATAAAAATATGTTTTTGGTCTCAATTTACTCGTCGTAAAAAATTAAGATGAGCATAGCTTTTAGTTTTTTGAAATTTTTCAAAAATCACCCCTTTTAGGGGTTGAAAAGACGCCCAAAATGAAGAATTGAATATTACCAATAAATATAAAAATTATTAGCATGTGAATTTTTCTATCGAATGATTCTTAATACAAAGAAAGATTTATTCTCATGACTGAAATAAACATGTTGAATTAGAAAATCCACCCTTAAGCGCGCTGAGGGGGTGGAATCATCCCCAAAAATAGAGAATATCAGAAATAATTGTAAAAATACCAAAAAAAATATATTAAGATAATTCACATGCTAATAGTTTTTATATCAATTGGTAATATTCGAATTCTTAATTTTTGGCATTTTTTCAACCCCTAAGTAAGGGTGACTTTTAAAATTTTCAAAATACTAAAAGTTTCAGTTTTTTACAAGTAATTTGCGACCAAAAACATATTGTGAAAAAATGGGCGAAAATCACAGGTTTTTTTGCGGTCACTCTTTGTAACTACACAAATATTGCACAAAAAATCGGTTCATGCTACATTCACAAATATGTGCTGTACAAAGCATGCCTGTGTTTAATACATAGATGAATTATATACAAAATATGTTACAGGTTATTAACACAAAATGACGTAATTAGTGATGTAACCGACAGTTCAAATTTGGTTGTTTCGAGAATTTTTAAATCATTGTATATAATTTGTATTTACAGTTCAAATATTTTTGGCAAAATTTTTATTTTTAAATTTTGCATTGTAAGCTGGCAATTTAAAAAAATAGCTTCACTGTGTCTCTCAGAGCCACAAATTTTACAGACAAGTTTTAATGGTGGATTCTGTAACAAATTAGCAGAAAAACATTCCTAAATACGATCATGTGTTTGTAAATTTCGGATCACCCCAAAAAATGCACATTTATCCCTCCAAAGCGTTTTTCGAGTCAATATTTTTAAAACTGAATTAATTAATGAAAATAAATAAAAAATTAAAATTTAAATAATCTGTATTTTGGAAACGAAACATATTTCGACCTACATTTATATGAGCTTTCTTCACAAAATAACTGGTAACCACTCCCTAAAATATTTCACACTTATTTACAAACACCCTGTATTTATTTACGGATAACGTTGAATTGCTTTTACCACTATTTTGTTATTAAATTGATGGTGAACACTTTTAGCAATAAATACATACAGTGTGTCTCTGAATTAATACATTTTTGAAAAGGTCAAAGCTTTAAAAAATAAATTATTTTTCAAAATAATCATATTACCATAGACAATTTAAATGTACTGGGTGTTAAACAAAATAAAAAAAATAAGAAAATGTGAATTAGCTAAAAAGTTGCTTTGTTTTTAATTCTAAAAAGAAATGGTAGTTTAGTAGGTAGTTATTTGCGATATTTTACTTTTTTATTTAATTGAGTATTTTGCAACACAAAACAAAAGAAAATTAATACGGCAATATGATTATAATCTGAATATTTAAAAATTTGAAAAAATAATGAGTCAATATCATATAATTATTTTGTTTGTTTTAGACAAAAATAAGTTTATAAAATGAACCCCTCGACAGATCATTTTGCAACAGACTGTTTATTTAAAATTTTTAAATTATTAAATTTCTCTTTTTAGTTTGGCAAAGTACACAAATAAAAACAATAAAAAAAAATTTTTGTATTTAAAAACAATACCAAGATGAAGCGACTTTTTGAATGTTTTGGTGCATCACCAACTAAATCTGTCAAATTTATAAAAATTTCGATACTGGTCACTAGAAACTATAATATTTATGCACCCAGTATAGTAATCACACAGTTAGTACTTGAAATTATAATTCCAGGAAAAGCAAATGTTATTATAAAGAATATATAAAAAACCAAGTGTTTTTGATGCAAGGAACCTTTTTCATTAATTTATGACAAGAATCCACAATAAAAGATTGGCCAAACATTTTAATTACGCCCTGTACACTTATTTAATTTTATCCAAAACCATTGCAATTAGAAATCACCATTAAAAAAATAATAAATGATATTAACTTTAAACTTATATTTTAATCTTTAAATTACGATATTATAAAAAAAACTAGATCCCATTATTTTCTAAATGTTGCTTAAGTATGGGGCATTCCACGCCAAATCGTCCACTTTTAACCCTAACCCCTTTCGATTTGGCTGAAACTTTTTTTATTGTTTTCTACCCCATTGAAAACCTAATTTTATCAAATTTTTTCACCCAACTCAAAAAAAGATGAATTTTTGAAAAAAAATTGCTTTTTTTTTAAAATAACCATAACTGAGTTATCGAGACGTTTTTTTCCAAAATTTTTGTTTTTAAATGTACTTTTTGAAAAAATTATATCAAAATTATCTGGACCTATCTTCACTGTTTTTTTCAATTTTTTTTTCTTATAAAAAACGACATTTTTTATAAATCCTCAAATTTTTCCAGAATGTTTTTTCGTTTTCTATTTTTTTATTGACCGAAAAAAATAGTTTTCAAATTTAGCTTATTTCACATAACACCATTTTGGAAATTGAAAAAAATATTGGTCCATTTTAAGACAAACAGTGCGCTTTAAAAAAAGACATACAATGCATTTGAACTCAATTATCATTTTAAAATCATCCTCCTTTGACTTTTTGAAATTATTATCAATCAATGAAATAAGCTAAATTTGAAAAAAAAATTATAGAAAACGAAAAAAACCACTGAAAAAAATTGAGGATTTATAAAAAATGTTTTATTATAAAAAAAATTTCAAAAATGGTAATCAAGAAATTTACGTTTTTTTTGAAAATTGAAGAAAAAACAGTGAAGATAGGTTCAGATAATTCTGATCTATTTTTTTCAAAAATTCGTTTTTTTTTGAGTTGGGTGAAAAAAATTTGAAAAAATTCTGATTTTCAATGGGGTAGGAAACAATAAAAAGTTTTCAGCCAAATCGAAAGGGGACAGGATTAAAAGTGGTCAATTTGGCATTGAATGCCCCATATATTATGCGTGTAAATGTGTAGGATGTGCAAATATTTATTAATATTTCAATATTATTTATCCTCTTGTTGTTTACCGTCACCTGTTTTGCCCAGAATTATGAGTATTTGTATCACTTTCAACATTTTTCATTAATAATGAAAGAACACGGAAAAATCATGGAAAAATTAAATTAACATTTGATAAAATGGATTTAAACTGATTTTCTTAAATCTCCATTGCCAAAAAGCTACTGATATTTGAAACACCAGTTACTTACATTTAAGAAGTTTACCCTAAAAAGCAAGTTATTTGCTTGAGGACGAATTAACAGAAAAGCACTACCTTTATTAAACTAAGCTGTTCCATGCTCTCACGTCTCACCCTATGTAATTGATGATGGCTCACATTATTCATGGACATTTCCGGCTTTGTAGGTGTTTTCGAGGTAGGTGATTCGGTCTCAGTATCCGGGCTATCGGGGATATCGAGTATTTTCTTCAAATCGGATATATTCATTTTTGCCGTTGCTTCTCCCATCGGGTCCCCTAACTGAAAGTATAGCAAGCAACCTGTGCGTTCACTATATACAAACCGCTTTTAACACTGTATTGAATCAATATTTATGAAGCAATTAATGTACCATAAACGATTCATAATTACTTCTGGATATGGATTTTATAGTATATAAAATTATTCAGCGATATTTTTAAGAAGATATTAAAATAATATTCGTTTAGTGACCGAATACTGGCAAATTTGTACAAAAAATACAGTAATAATTTTTCAGGTTCACATATACAACAAAAAATTTAAAAAAATGGATCCATTGATATCCAGCATCATCAATATTAGTGATTCGTTTACAATGATTAATGACAAACTGTTATATCTGCGCTCGAAAAAATGGAATCGCCGATTGGTTGAATAAAATCTCTTGGAAAATTATACTAATTTATCAAATAGGAATTTAAATTTATGTCCAATCAAGATCCTCATTGGTCTAGATTGGATTATATGACCTTGGAAATGAACTAAAAATAAAATCAATTTGAGCAGAGTACTAAAAATATTTTTAGCATATTTTTGTTTGAATTAATATGCTGTGATTTGTTATTAATTTTCCATTAACAACCACTAACAATTCTATTTTTAAAAACACATCAACATATAACTAACAAAATACATAACCAATATGTTATCCCACTTGCACGCATATGACACGAAAGGAAACGCCTAAAGGTGGAAACTAACAAATCAAGAAATGATGGAGTCGTTCTTTTTGTACACGATTTCCAAAGAAACAAACGGGCACTTGTGTAAAAATAGAACGCTTCAAGTGCACGCATGAGCATGTTGAACATATCGGTACACTATGTAAAATGAATGGCACATAAGTGTGGATAAAAAACAAAGATTAATAAAATAAGGTGAAAAACAGGTTAGAAAACAAAAATTTTGGAATTGCTAAGCAGGAGCGGTTAAATGAACAATATTTTAAAATTAATTCAGATCGGATTCTCTGACCGTGCTGATTCAACCACAACTGCTACGGAAAACATCATCACAAATGTCAATCCCTTTACATAGCACCTACATTTAAATGTTTTATTCTTACCTCTTTGCTGATTTCTAAATGCTTTTTTGCAAAGTTTAGTGCTTTTTCGTGGTTTCCTAAAGAAGCATGCGCGTTGCCCAGAGACCAGCAAGCTCTTCCTTCGCCAACGCGATCCGACAGATTCTGAGCAATGAGTAAATGTCTTAAATGATACTCTATGGCCGTCTCATAATTACGGAGTAAAGTATAAGTATTGCCAAGACTGTAACAGGCTTGAGCTTCTATTGCTTGATCTCCAAGTTCTTGTGCCAGAGCGAGAGTACGTCTAAAATGTATTATGTTATTAAAAACAGTATTTCTTACTAAGAAACCGAGACAATATGATGTACAGGGTGTAAGAAGTTTGACTGTCATTACTTCAGCATGAGATGAGTAATCAAAAATGAACAAAAAAGTTGTATATTACAGGGGCAATAGCACTTAATCTAACGCTACACAGCTGGTGCATACCACGTATGGATGAAACTTGTTCTATAGAAAAAATTTAAACAACTATTATTGTGAAACATTTAGTAAATTTCAAGACAATTGTTTTCCAGTTTTTAAATAAATAAAATAAAATGTATCGATTTTGTAGTAGAAAGATAATGTTGTGCTTAAATTTTAGCTCGAGTAGTAGTAATTATGAATCTCTTAAAACAGGAACTTAACTTTTAATCAAATTATGAATTTGGAAAATATGTAATTAAAGTACTCAAAGATTCACGTCATCCAAATAATCACACGTATTAGAAATAACTACAACATATGCTCAAAATATCCACCACCATTTTCGATGCACAGACGTCACTTTTGAATCCAATTTTCGCGCACTTGCTGAAAAACACCTCAAGAAAAGGAAATAGTGGTATGCAAAAAACACTCAGATATGGTCCAATTCCAGATACTAACTGAATTGCGTATTGCTGGACATGAATTTTATCGAATTTTAAATTTATTACGCTAATTATTTTTTAGAATTAAACATAAAGTTCAAAAAAGTGATAAACATTGTATTTTATAGTATTCTATGAACGCAATTATGTCAATATTCCTTAATTAATCGAACTTTTGTACATCAAGTTGGAGATTTTGCTAATTTTTTTCTCGGAAATGGTTAAGTTTAGGACCCATGTCATTTTCTTGTTTATTTTAATGTATTCTATCGTCTGTTAAAATTAAGGCAGTCAAACTTCTAAAACCCTGTATACAGTGTTACAAAATAGGTTTCTTCTATCTCGAAATGCCAAGAAGTTTAAACAGACGATGTAGAAATTGTTCAACCATTCTTATCAGATATTTGTAAAAAAAAATAGATATATAATAATACATACTTATAGTGGTGTGCGGCATCCTCAAATTGACCCATGAAAATATGAGAATTTCCCAGGTTACTATGAGCTCTTCTTTCAGCCGGTTTGTCACCAAATTGTCGTGCTATAGCCAGTCTTTCCTCGTGATAATTTATAGCTTGGGCAAAATCGCCAAGCAAATAAAATGTATTCCCTAAGTTACCACATGCCCTTCCCTGGGCAGCTACGTCCCCTAAATCTCTCATCAAGGCTAAGTTTTCCCTAAAAGGGAGGAAAATATTTCAAATATAATCTTTGACATAATAACTCTACATACTCATAGTAAGTCACAGCTTGTTGCAAGCAACCTTTAACTTCATCCGAAAATTCTCCGGGATCCTTATGACCAATTCGTCCAACGTGTTTTCCCTTAGCATGAAGCACGTTGCCTAAGTTATACAAAGCACGGCCTTCACTCAACCTGTCACCTAATTCTCTTGATAACTCCAAATGGCGTTTGCAGCATACTATAGCTTCGTCGAACCGTCCCATCACTTTTAAAGTATTTCCTAAGTTGCCCGAGGACTTAGCTTCACCTAATTTATCTCCCATCGTTCTACAACAAAAGGTAAACTACCAGATTTCTTAAATGGCACACAAAACAATTAGGATGGGTAATTTGGAATCGTGTTTGAACTACAATATTTATACATTACTGCATTTTTGAAGGACACAAAATTTCGAAATGTTACTTTAAAATTTGTCTTTTAAAATAGCAACACAAGACTTAATTTTTAGCTAAATTATTTCATCTACATTCTGCACGAATAATAAATTTTATTCATTTTACCTAGCCAAAGTTAAGTCATGTTTATGATACTGCATAGCTTTGCTGTAATCTCCCAGGTAGAAATAAGCATTTCCCAGCTGACTATAAATGGCACTTAACGTTCTTAAGTCATCCGTTCCGGCTTGTATTGCAGCTTGAAAGAATGCAACACCAGCCCTGCAATCTCCAGCTTTACACAGGCGTTCACCTTCCAATGCGAGCTCTAAACACATGTTGCTTGATCCGTCATAATCCTAAAAAAAAATAAAAAAAATATTTAAGAGAGACTTGATGAATTTCAAGAACATTAAATAGTGCAGTGGAATGGAAGATCACAATTATTTATTACACCCTTAAGTTGTATTAATATTTTTAAATGGTTAATGAATTTTTTTGAAAATTGGGACATTTAAACAGCCATTTTTGAAGATAATTTAGACCAACACTACTAACTGATTCAGGAAGCCACTGATTTTCAAGATACAGGTTACTAAAATTAAAAAAATATAGTATTTACCTAAATATCTTTGAAAATGTGTAAGTCAAAAATTGATGAAACTTATGTTAAACATTCACTGAACTGATTTCACATTTTACTTAAAAAACAGACAATTTTCAGTTACATTTTTATTTACGTAAGTACCAGGAACTTATAAATGTTTTAATTGTGTTGGCCTAACTGATATTAGTTACCAAGTAAATTTTCAAAATTTTCTTACAATGAGTACTCCTATTATCGATTGTCAGTTCCCATTGAAATATGTAGTATATAGATACTTTCATTAATACCTACTTATCCATAGAATATAATACAGATTAAAGATTAAAGTAAATAAATATATATTAAAATATTCTACATAATGCTTTATTCGACAAATTTATTAACTTTTTTATTTTTTCTTACAAGTTAGGAATGATTTTCATTAAGTATTTTCTAACTTTTTCATATTCACTACATAAAATCCTTTCAAAAGATTATTACAAGGTCTGTGGTTTATTATATTAACATTGTAATCACGGAAAAAATATTGTTTGAAGTTTTATCTCATCTTGGTAAAAATAAACAGTAATTGGGACCGCAGCATTGGAAATGCATTCGGGAATGTATTTTATTAGATACTAAAGAAGCAGTAGACACTACAATTTATCCTTTCTTGAAAAAAACACACTAAATATAAGTTGACTTGCAAAAAATGTTTGTAAAATTACTAAAAATTAATTATAAAGAAAGAACACTTAAATTTCAAGAAATTATGATAGTTCCAGATAACCTAAAGTCTTAAGTCTGACATTTACCTAAGTAATCCCTATATTCCCATTCTGTATTGGAATTAACATCTCTTAAGAAGTCATTTTATATAAAATATAATAACACTACATACAAACATTTGTCGAAATCATAAAATATATGTTTTTTTATTCAAGTGACATAATTCATAATAATAATTAAGTACTATTTGAAAATTAAAAGTTAGGTACCAAGCAGATGGGACTTATTACTATGCACACCATTTGCTTTTCATGTATTTAAATACTGATTACAATCTTTAAATCGTTACCTGGACATCTCCTGTTAAATTTTCAACACTTGCACTAGACATGTTTTATAGTGTAATTAAAACTTTAAACAAAATTAAGTATGATGATTGATGATTCACTAATAAACATTTAATTCAAAAAAACATGTTTTAATGGGTTTTATTAAACACGTAATAGAAGAGATCACATCAAATCTATGTGCCAAACTTTGTATTTGAGATCACTAAATAATCACAAAAATCTTCACTATTTTAGTTTAATTAGGTATACAAACTGCTCCATATACCCACAACACAAAACAGAGTACACATAACTTCTGCAGTGCTGCTGCTGCTTACTGTTTCTTGCCACTACACAATTCTAAATATCACTAACATAAATAGGTAAATCATATATACATGAGGTAAATGAATAAAATTGATTTGTACGTCTTAATCCCAAATAGTTTAACATATTTTAAAATTTTTATACGTAAAATCCTTGTAAAACGGTTAATATCTTATATTAGAGAAGGCGATGTTGGTGTTACTGTTTTCTGTTCAATAACAGGGTTCCCCATTGAAAATAATCACAATGGTAATATTTTTAATTTTTATTTTTAACATTTTGTATTGACTTATTATAAGGACGTCAAAAATAAATTTTTCGCAAAAACAATTGAACATAGGCAACTTTATATATAATGGTTTTAATTTTATTGGTACACCCCGTATTTTTATATTTTTTAAACTTTTAAATTTTTTTATTTAAAAAATATACTGTTATATGTTTGCGTCATGTTTGTTAATATTATTTCGGCACTATATGGGCGGTAGATATTTAATTCTGCAAATTCTATCAAATTTAAACTGAATCATAATTACGAGAAGTTGTTAATAATTAAATTAAAATGAATCAAAGAAAAATATGCTTTGTGTAAAGGGCGTTCTACACTTAAAAGGCTAGAGCTGTGTACAACGAATGGTCGGACTAAATACCCCAGACAGGCACACACACACACCCTCCACACACACACCCCACACACACACGCACAGAGAAACGCAAAAAACACACAGCGGAATCCTCTAGCGAGGACGAAGCCCCCAGACTTAAAAAATCAGACAAAACAAACAAAACACGACCACAAACACCAAACACGCGCCCCCCGACACCTACACCCTCCACAAGCGCCCTACAAAATACCCCACAAAACACACAAAA